ACACGCACTTATACAACAAATATAGGTATAGTACGTATATGCATAGGAGCATGTCAAGATCCATTCACATATGTACCCAAGGAAGATGGTACGGGGCCATCTGGCATGGCGCGAGCCAAAACAATCGTCAAATCTTGTCCACATAGACACGGGAAGGTAACGTCTTTACGACGTCCCTGACGAACAGTCGACACCAGTATGGAATATACCAGAATATTTAATGGCGACAGGTTACCTGAACGCGCATACATGAAAATAGTAAGACATGAGTTTTGTAAAATTTTTCTAGAACCCACGGAAAGCTTGGTGCGTTAAAAGCGACCAAGGTTCTTACTTGTTGAATGACTATTATTTATGGCTATTCTTAAAAGCACTGAAACGCGTACTAAATTAAATGTAGGGTTTTAGGATTCTCGTGGTCTCAGCTTAAAAGGCTTCCAGATCCCACATGACTTACGAATTCTTCGTTAACCTCAGATAGTCTCGTTTCCTCGATACCTGACAGTAAAATCGAAGACATACAATAATTTTTTATATTATATGAATTTTTTTTTTTTTCATAAATACTCACTACTCATCATATACAGAAAGGAGCACCAAGTCCTTCGCGGAGCTCCTGTCCATCCTTACTGGACTCAAACGTCATTCGGACGGTGGCTAAGTGGATGGTAAATATATCCTTAATGCCATGGTAAACAGAAACTGGTCGTCGTGATCACTCAATGATTTTCATAGTCCTCGGTTAACGGAGTCGTATTCTCCTGTGTGTAGATACAGTCAGCAGGATTCAGAGACGCGAGTACAATTATGGAAGGGTTTTGTTTGTTGTGGGACTTGGCCCACCCACGTGCGTATCCTTGGTACATGTATGTTTTCCTCGTGGGACTACTATATTAGGACTACTGGAACGGATATCATGGCTAAGCTGATTAGGGTTCGCACCCTACAGTCCCGACTGAAATCGTCGACCTGTTATATAGCGATCAGTCATCCAGACCAGGTCAAGATTATCGGCAACTCCGAACAACTTGCTCAGAATAATTTGGTACCCCGATATATTTCATCCTCGAGGAATTCATGGAAATTAATTTAGGGTCAGATGGCTCTGGGATCCGAATTCTTGGACGAGTACAAAAACTTTGATTCCCTTTGAAAATACCGACCCGGTAGATAGGTGAAATTTGATAGGTCCGGTAATGAGTCCAGATGCAATCAAGACTATTGTGTCTGTTGTGAATAAAATGATATAAAAATAAATTACCCTCACATAATTCCTAGTCGGATACCATTAACGGTCCAACAATGATTTGGCTCTTGTCTTCACTTTCCTTTGTTACATTCAACCCTGTATTATCCCCATTCTTTACGGTACCACTTGGTCCAATCTACGGAGTCATTGAATCCAATCATCGATTAGAATCGAATAATATATTTTTTTTTCAAACAGCCCTCAACATATCATCGACTCACAAATCCATGGGGTCCTGTATGAGTATACAGAAGAAAAAAAGTCCACGAAAACCCATGAGAATATTTTATGGTCAAACCAGTGAATATCGCGGATATCTTTCTTGGTAAGCCGTCCAAAATTCTTTGCCTACAGTTAAATCTCAAGCCTTATCCCATTAAAAGTTTCCAGGGTTACCAAAGCCGGGGCTCCGCTACCCCACGAACAAATTGAATAAAGCGTACCGACCTCTTTTATGGGGCATCCCATAACGTTGCGTAACGAAATTAACGAGCCGCGATCCAGGATATATTCCACGCTTAACGAAATAGCCATTTCGTTTTATTCTCGTTCCGTATTTCTTTTTTTCCATTTTTTTTTGTTTTCCATTACTTTTTTCTTCTTCTCGCCAGACCACCAGATCACGATTCACACTTTACCCATTAAACTCACGTACTTTATCGACCGTCCATGAATACAACCTATATTTTTTTTTCCTATCCTCCCCTCTCGCTCTTCTCCCACGTCGTTTTCGTCTGCTACCATCCATGAAGTTCTCCAGCGTCTCAGTACCATGGGAAGTTACGATCCAGATGATTTACGGGAGAATACTCCTTGCGACTACCAAGGTTTATTATCTGGGTACACTCGTGCCATGGGATTCGTAACTCGGTGTCTTCTTGGCAGTCCTATGGAGTTGAGGTCGTCGATTTCTGTGCCTCTAACGTGGGATGGTTTTCGTTACGAACTTACGACGCCGACGGCCAGAATCCCAGCCATGTGTTTTCCTCTCCCAAAAACATTCTCTTTCCCCATGGGACACCATATATAACCATTCTGCCGGCCTTCTTGGGTCGTGTATCTATATGCGGTAGAAAAGCACTGTAAAAAAAATTTTACCTCAGAACTTAACTGAGATCACAGGTGCGCGTGGTTATTGTGACGTCAGACAATGTACAATTAATAGAAGTGCCAATCTGTTCGGAATTATTTATTGGTCGATATGTAAAAATTCACGTGCAAATATTTAAGTCTGACAATTTTAGAACGTCTGCTCCATATAACCATTTACTCGGTGAATATGTATTTGTGTATATATATGATTGCCGCTACGTAAATCCAACCTGCGGAAATACGTATAAACTGCTGCCAACCTCTGGATCACGAATACAACCGGAAACGGTTGGAACTTCTTCCGTTTCGTCCTGCGCATTTGTGTCGCGACCCACGTAAGACGCGGTGCACGTTGCATAATTCATTTTTCTGTTTATATTACTCGAATTTTAATGCATATCCCTGTGTCTGTGGGATCGGACTGGGTGGATTTAATGAGAGACGAAAAAGTCGTTTTCGAAAAGAAAAAAAAATTGATATTCATTCGCCGGATATCTGAACGTTACCAGTAGGAATTTCAGTTCGAAAAAAGGCGTATAGAATTAATGAAAAAATTTATGAGATTTTCCTTGATATTCTTGTACCGGGACTCTTCGCCAGTTTTTCGTCCGCCGTTTAAAACGTGTCCAGAGCACGCTTGGGTGTTCACGTATTAGAAATTAAATGTTTGGGTCCCTCGACCACGTTTATAAATGAAAAGGGGACTTGGTGGATGATCGGGCGTAGAATTAGGTGTATTAGGGACAATAGAAATTGTAATTGAATTACACGGCTCATCGCAGTAATCGGGCGGTACGGGACTCTGAGGTCTTATAGGGAGTGAATTATTAAGGGGCCCTTTCTCTACCTGACTCACGAAATTAGGCAGGTAACCTACTGAAACAGGTATCAAGATTAGCCCAGGTAATCCTGAGTAGTAATTTGTTATATTAATATTCGAAATTTTAGGGTGGTCCATCCCTTTTCTTTAAACAGTCACCCCATAAACCGCCTCACACAAATCGCATTAAGGGATTGAACTAGGAAACCTTTTTCCGGAGTCGGTGATCGGCAACCTTCTAAAACTGGGCCCAATAGTGGGTCGCGTCCGGTCACCAGGCTTTTTTCTGACTTCGGTCCCACTAATGAGTCCCATTGTTTTCTTCGAGAGAATTTTTAGAGACCCTGTCACGCTCTTTATGGGATTTGCAAAATTTTTCGAAACCACTCAAATTTTGTACCTAAGTCAGTCCCATTTGCTTTTTTTTCTTAGCTTGTAATATTTTTTTGGGTCTGTCCCACTCGTTACGAGGGTTTCTGGATGAGTTATCGAGACTATACGAAAAACCTATGAAAATACGAACTTCGACCATTCTCTCCGAGAGCAACAGGTGTTTCTGGGTCTCCGAGGGAATTTTTTTAACTCGAAGTAAAAAAAAAAAGGCCCCAAAAAAATTCCGTGAGATTCCCGAGGGCTCTTCCCGAGGGACTCGGGGCATTAATTGCCGCCCCTCGATTTATATTATCTGTCGGACTCGTCTCGTATATTTTCTTAGGCAGCGTTAGCAACGAACCTAAACGCCTCGCAGTGAACCGACCTTTAAAAGCGACGGCGCGATCATTCGAAAACTAAGAAAACAAGCTGTCGCGAACTTCGTACGCGTAGAAAGGAGGCGTTAAGTAAAAGGAAAAGATAGGGAAAAAATAAAGAAACAAAAAAGGCAAGAATACCGGCAGAGTCGATCTCAAGAGAAAACTTTCTTGAAGTACCCGCCAGAAAATCGAGCCCTGTCATCGTCATTATCGTGAATAAACACTAGCCAGAGTTACGAGGGGTAATTAAGTCCTGCCAACTGTAACAATCCCCGAAACACAGCACAACGCTACGATTATTTATAACCACTTGTCGTCTGCTCGTCGAGTCCCCGTGTTTTTTCAGTCCCCGTGAATACCCGCCTTTTTGCTTTTAAGTCCCACCAAAATATATTCCACCGGACCAACCATTAGCATCGACCACCCTTCGATCCTATCGAAGATCCCAGCAACGATTATCTGCCATCCCTTCAAAAAGGTTCAAAGTCCATTTTGAAACACTTTGCCGGAAGTCGCCAGAGACCATCCGGAAGTCCCCTATAGAAAGTCCATAAGGACCTTAGAAATTCTATTAAAAATTTTTCATTATTTACTCCAGTTGTCAATTCCAATAAAACCAGCTGTGAATTCTCATATCCGCAACAACCCTGGCTACCGTGCATACCTAGGTGCCAAGGGATGCAAAGGAACGTCGTAGAATGTGAATCCAAGGAACGCGAACGCGTAGCTGTGAAACGGCCGGAATACAGTGATATATACGTTATACAACGAGACAGGGCGGGGATATATTTTAGCGAAGTATCTCAAATCTTTAGCTGTCCTGGACAAGTGCATTTTCGTGTGCTGGCGAGGTGCCAAAAAATTTATCCGAAAAAAAGTCTCTCGCGAAAACAGAAAAAACACGAGTATCCGCGAAGGCTACACCGTCGGTTAGTATTTACCAGACGTACAGTACAGAGACAACCGAGGACGTTTTATTTCCCGTATTTTTTCATGGATTATCCTGCCAGCCATGCGAGTGTCAACTGCCACTGGTATTGCATTGGCGACATTAACACCTACGATAAATATATGTTTTTCCTTTCAGAACACACTCATGTGGAATACGCAGTAACATAAGCGATATCGTCGACAAGATGACGACGACCTGGAGCTGCCTGATCCTTGGGATCCTCGCCATCCTGGGAATCGGCTTGACGTATGGCCGACAAGTTCGTCTTGGTGAGCATACATACCATACAAATTTTTTCCCATTAGACACACACAAATACCATACAGTATACATAGAAAATTTTTTTGAGCCACGCTTCGATTTTTCTAACCCTTAAAATTTTTTTTCGTAAAAAAAAATACTTGACATAAAATCGGTAGCGTGGGAGTACAAGGGCTACCTGTATACGAGGATGATCCAGAAATTAAAAAAAAATGAATTTTGTGTTTATATTCTGTCTTTTTCTATTTTGGAGTCGCTCCAAAAATATATGCCAGGGTGTAGGAGATTCAGGGACAAAAAAATATATGGAATAATATGTTCTCGCGCACGACCGGAGACACGACTTGCAATTAGGTTGTCAATCGAAGCATACTTTGCTTTTCGTCTGTTTCCCTGTGTTTTTTTTTTCTTCTTCGCAACGAATCCTTCCTCCAAACGCCGCTGGGATACGTTGCTATAGGAGTGAGAGCGAAGGTAGCCGTGAAAAGAAGAACCAAGAAGGCGAATAAGACTAAGAGGAGACTGGTGGATGATGATGATGTCGCGCGCCACGGGCGTTCAGCCCGCGGCAAAGCACCGAGATTTGTAAAGAAAGCTAGTCTTGTATATTTTGGTAACAGAAAACGACGACGGGGCGTAAAGGAAGAAGCCATGCGGCGGACAAGGGTAACGGGGAAAGAGAGGAGGGACAAAGAGAGTCAATGTATATGGGAGCTAGTGATACGAGAGAGAGAAAGAGAAAAGAAAAGTCATGTTAAGAAAAAAAAAAAAAAAGAAAATTTTTCGAACCCGATAGAAAACAGTGCCGACGTAATCCTATGGATTAACTGTATAAATCTCGTGGGACTTATACTGCTGTTCCAATTGTAAACGTTCTGGACTCGAATCCTCACGATTTCTTTTAACATTGCTTCGTCGCCTCGACACAAAAGGCTACCAGCTGTCCGGTCTTACCAGCTTTGCCGAGAGGATCTTATTGATTGCGTCATCCGAGAAGATTTTTTTGTGCTATCCGTTGAAAAACCTGCCAAAATCTATTATACGATTTGATTTGTTAGGGGATCCTTTTTTTCAAGTGGATCCTCTCATTGAGAATGTGGAATAGCTTCTGATACTTTTTCGAAATGGCAGCCATTAATGTCGATGGGATCTTTTTGTGGCGTCGGGGTGAATATTACGAAAGGGTTGACCAGCTGTCTTATTTTCTGTGTTAAAAGGAATTATATATTGTGTCGATTAAAGATATCCAGATTGCATCTACGTGATTGCTGGTTGTCACTAGAGAAATTTTATTTTTGATGATAATAATAATTATGTCTATTTTTAATTCCCGAACCATGAGAATCGTGGCGAATCGTGGCGAGCGTGAAATCTCTGATATCTTCTTACTACAGCCAGAATTCCACGCACGTATTTCGCCTCGACTCGTAATACGTTTTAATTAATCCGAAATTCAGTAACGAGGAACAGATTGGTACTCGCGAATGTGTCTTTTTACATGACTTTTTAAAAAATGATTTTCTCGTTCTCTCATTGTTCTCCTTTGCGTTTAGAATAGCAGTAGCCGATGGGCTTTTCCTTTTGTATAAGGAGTTAACAGGTTCCTGGTATAACCTCAAGACGAAACTAGGTCCTTCGGTGAAGATCGGTTTACCTCGTGAATTAGGAAAGAAACGAGAAGCACGTAGTAATGATCGCCGACTAAGCTGAAACGTGACTAAATCGGGTATTTTTAACATATAGTTAAAAGTACGATACGCCCTTGAAATATACCGAAAATAAGTCTCGACGCACTGTAAATATATGGTTCAGATAAATCTGGTAAATTCTTGGAAGTACCCTGGACATTGCGAATTCTTAAAAAAAAAAAGAAATTCGTAGAATCTCTCAAAAATCACGTATCCGTAATAAAATGTAAATTTTATCATAAATAAGTGAAAAATTTTCAAGCAAACCTATCGCTTCGGGCAAAACTGACAAACTTTATTGTTCGAGAGTCCCGGCAGGCTTGCCAGTCCCAAAGTGACACATCTGGTCTGCAGATCCATTCACGACTCACTTCACAACTATGGGCTATGAGGATCGGTTGGTCTCGTGGTACGAAACTAGAAAATTTCCAAGTAACCTTAAGCCCGTTTCACATGTCTCGCATTTCCACGTATACCATAAACCCATCCGTTTTATCTTACAAGCGTTCAAATTTCCCGCGAAAATTTTTCACTCAAAAACAACACCCTGCGTATACGTAAAATTCCAGCGATTAAGAATTCCGGCAAGCGAATTGAGTCTAATCAGTTTCTCTATCGTTAACGAACCCGCCATCGACATTAACGTCATTACTGCCAATTAGGAAACTGTCTCCGTACGTCACGTCAAGCGTACACGCATCCAGCAGGAAAGCTTACGCACTCGTACCAACTGACTTCGTCAGTCAAATGTAATCAATGCAGCGCTCGACCTACATGCCGGCACTTCAGGAGGGAACTGTCGTGCCATATCAGGAAGTCCTCGTTCGTTCCAAGGATATTTTTATCTCTGGTGGGACTGAAAAAAAAAGTAACAATTAACTAACCTTATGTCAATGAAATATAGTTCATTTTAATTTCCGTCAATTAATACCCAGTGAATCATTTTTCTCAGGATTTCCATCACTTATATCAATATATACCTTCTTGTATACTTGACTCTTACAGTACATTGCTTAAATGGTAATAAGGTACAAGGTAACCAAATATATATATATCTATCCCCATACTGATCTGTACTGACCACGTAACGGTCGCCAATAAATAAATATATATATATATATATATATATATTAGAAGTCATGAAATACTACTGCTCGTAGTAGCGTTATTATGATTGGGCTCAATTGTCCAATTGCTCGGTCATTGAATGCCGCTCTACCATACTCGCCATTATTAACAAACGCTAACAATTCTCAATCCCCTAAGCAAATCCCAGTGCCGTCTGGTCCGTTCTTCGACTTTCTCGCTCGATATATCGTCAGTGTTATTTAAATGAGAGCCACTGCAATCTTTTGTCTATCAAACGTATTCAACAGCGTAATAGCAGCTAATATACCAATTGGACAATGAAAGAAATGGCAGGGTGCGATTTGTCGACGATTGGATGCGCTTACCGGGACAATGGTTACGCGCGGCCAACACGCGAATCGACCTACGACCTAGTGAAGCTACTACCTTCGTTTTGAACATGAAGATAGATACCGTGTATAACCGGTGTCATAGAAATACGAATGGGAGAATTCGTGTTGGATAAACGTCACGATGAATTATAATTACAGACATTAAGCGGTAAGAAAGCGAGAAGCGATAAGAGGTTAGGGAACAAAAAATGAATTAACGAAAAACCATTCGTTACCCAGGGGGTTCATTAAGATAACAGCTGGTCTTTTACCTCTTAATCTAAAGTTCCTTTGAGCGACCTGCGTCGGGGGATGATCGTGTAATTATGCACCCTGAGTGGTTCCTATACCTGAAAGTCGTTCGCCGTTGCTCGGACGGATGCGTCAAATTGAAACGTCCACTCTTTTTTTCTCAAAGGATTTTCGACTCTCGTTCCTTTTTCATACTCTTAATCAAGCTAAAAGGGTTGAAGAATCGTGAGGAATTTTAATTAGACTGTCAACCGTAGCGGATAACTTTTCATGGTGATCTTTCGTCAGGCTCGAACAATTTTACGTCCGCCATCTCAATAATGCCTAGGATATATTTATATCCCCATATAATTCCACGCGTGAAATATCATTAAATTCCCGATCGTCGGAATGGATTCAAACTGGTATACCTATGGAGTATATATATATATATATATATATATATATATATATATATATATATCATATATATATATCACCAGGAGAATAATAAAAAGTCAATCTACCCAAGATCCCTTGCGAGAAGGATTAAGTTTCTCCTTTTGTGGAATTACCGGCCTCCATTTATGAGGCAGCATATAGGATCTAGATATCAACCTGGATCCTTGGGGATTTCACGTCGACGGATTAGACAGGGACACGGGTAACCTGATTCTAAGCAGGAACAGATTCGACGTCCTGCATTTGTCGAAAAGTTAATTCGACCGATTCTCACACCTCCAACCTGGATATCCTATCCAGGATCTATTCAGATCAGTTGACCATTACCAGATAGGTGTGTTCACGGGATACAGGGTGGAGGCCCGGCTGGTTAAAATATTTCACTAGGTTACAAGGTATACCAAAGCCTATAGAAAAGACAGTTTACCTATGCACGTGCGCATATAGAGATCTTCCACGAAGCTCGTTATCGAAGCGTCTTCTTTATTTCATCTCACCAGTCACAAACGTCTCTTATAAGCACTCGCGTGCCAGTCTCACAATTAAAGGCGCATAAATCACCAGCTGTCGTTAGGGTATCTGCCCTGGATCGACCCTTATCTCATTCCGCTACTATTTCGAGCGTCTTCTCGCCGCCGCATTTAGTCCCCGTTCATACGTACTTCTTGTTTCTGTTGGTGAGTTCTAATGAGACGAGCGACCGCGTCTTGCGTCGCTAATGTCGACCTCGTTTATTTGCCCAGTGCATTGTCGCACAGTCTTACCAACCTCTAAACGGAGAATAACCCCGCACCAAAAATAGTCCGTATTATTTTCTATTTACCGTATAAAGCGTTAACTCCGAACTTTCTCGTGTTTTCCGTCGAACGAACTAATTGCCAGGATTCTTTGGGTTTTACGACTGCGGTACTTACGCTGGTTTTGGTATCGGCACTAATGGAGGAAACAATGTTTGGGTAACGTTACACTAAGCTGTGTTTTCATTCGAACGATTTCAGACAGTATCGCGTGTAATTGAATTACATTTCTTTTTTTCACTCTTGTCTCTTCGCAGTGACGTTTTAACGTACACGTGGTATACATATATTGTGCATACATTCGCGCCATATTTGACGAGATTAACGTCCCTCCCGCTTCTGGCAATTCACGGGGAAAATGAATTTATCGCTCGCCCACGTATTCGTGGGTTGTCATTACCTCGTTGGCACCACTGGCAGACAGAACTATGACGGCCGTGGCTTGGCTTCACGGCGAAAACGTATTACAAATCGGAATTAATTTACGGGGAAACCTTCGACGAATATTTTCGGCAGCGTTCCAGGCGATAAACCTAATCCCACCTTATCCCAGAAAGCGTCTCTGTGTCACGGTCCGTTCTCTGTGTTCTGGTAATCGACGACCCAGCCGTCCGTTCTAGTTAAATATCTAGACGGATGACGGTGCATCTATAACGTAGACTTTGTATAAACATGTAGCAATAGGTACGTATCAGCCTTTACAAATTACAAAGCATTGTATTACGTATCGTATATAAATACTGTATAAATATATCTGGATTATACATAGGCGTACTACGTATGCCAAACGTAGGCGTGCCAATTTTCATTATTTTGGCTTACGGTCACGGCGGCCTGCATCCTTCGGGAAAGGGAGGGGAGGGGGGGGGGCGCGTCGCGGCAAAAACTTTCAAATTAATTTACGGCAGGCGCGTGCCCCACGAGTAAGCTGCACCCTATATATAGACTGCTGACTTTCGATACACAGAACCGAAAAATCTTAAAGTTCCTCGACTCCGTTCCATCGTCAATGAAACCGTCTGTATACCCGGTAGCTCAATTCGATCAGGAGTCACCTCTTATTGGCAAGAATGAAAATAGAGCCTTTTCACTGAGCCTATCCACGTGTAATTTGTATCCTTGTTCCTCCTTTATTATTTAGCATGGTATCCTCGAGGATATGCGGGAGCCGAGCGATACCGAGGAAACCGTGAGTATAGACTGGCGCGTCAAGCGTTGACTTGGAGAAATAAACACGACGAGTCGATGTCGTCAGCCCGTATAAAAGATGAGGCGCAGACCCACTAACTAATGGCTAATGGTACCGATTTATTCTGTTTGGTAACACGAGGCGTATAGTTTCGTTTAGGCAGACGTCGTTAGCCTTCTACGACCGGTGAAGCCCGGCGTAGCGGAGAATGAGAGTGAGGTGTCGTTGAGGACGCGCCCTAAAACAATTCCTCCTTGAAAGCTGTAATAACGAAGGCATCTCTGTCGCAGGATCGAAACCGTCTCTGGATTATAATTCGAATCACGGATATTACCTTCCGTCCAGGCATTTTACCCACGCACTTTTGCACCGATGCAAAAGGCGCCTGCGTGCTCGTCGTGCCGAACGACGCCGGACTCTCGAAACTATTCCTGGACGTCGGCGTCGAACCAGATGGCCCGTGACGTCACGCCGGGGCCGTCCATCTTCATCGGAGGAATCGAGCGCTTATCAATTTGAAATATTAAAATTTCGAATTTACACCTTCGTACCCGCGTGCTGTATGAAGTTCGGTGCGGATTGGCCGATGATTATTTTTATGAATGACTGTGAAAACCGTAGGGGGGGTCAGGGGGGTGGCAGTCTCCTTGAGCGTTCCAGAGCGAAAAAGGTCCTTGTCGAGACAGACAAGATGGAGAAAAAAGAAGCGGCGAAAGAAAAAGATGAAAAAGGAGTGCGAGCCACGTGCCTGACAGATGACGCGGATCAGAGGAGAGGAAACGGAACTAGAGTCTAGCGACAATAAACTCGATTGATTTCCGTCGAGGGGGGTTACAACAATGGTTACCCTGTCGCACGCGTTTCTCAGGATGTTTAAAATAAGTCCACGTAGTCCTCTCATTCTTTGAGAGATACGATTCAACAATGCCGTCCCACGTTGCGGAGCCAGATTAAGAGAGCTGATCAAATAAAGCTCACGGGGCTTGTCGTAGATCGCCGAAGGAAGTCGTGGGCGACCATGGAGCCGAATCGGACGCTTCGTGTGAACGTTGATAAATTCAAACCACAAATCCGTAGCCAATTATACGTGTCCCATTCACAAACAAGTCATTGATATCCTTATTGCCCGTTGATCATTGATCGTCATTACCAGTCGTAGAAATGATCAGGTGATCATCCTCAAGCTAGGTCATCCCCATTCATCGGATACCGATCTACTTTATATTCCGTTGACGGGATTGGTCGGTCATGGAGGAAGAAAAAAAAATCTGCAAAAATACTTAAATTATTAACGTGTTCCTGGATGGGGATAGTCGCGTGAGAAATATTCGAATGGAAGTAAATCGACGGGAAACAGAATAAAGCGAGTGTACCTAGTGATCCCTGGTCGGTAATTGCGGGGTACACGGTTCCACCACCTAGGTCTCTATATTTAGCCAGATGCATTCTGGGGACTCCAACACTCCAAGACGATACAGTAGCTATAGACATAGAGGCATGGCAAAAGCTCTTCGGTAAGCACCGTCGGAAAGGACAGTGTCGCGGTTCGGTTTTGGCGCATCTCCAAAGCGACGGAAAGCCTGGGTTTCGTACTCATGAATGAGCGAAGGCGCGACTCTGAGATTTTGGGACTGGTAAACATACGCGGATGGACTTAATAATCGAGCAGCTCGGAGACAATGTACGCGGGCATTGTTACACGATGAGACTAGTATTGTAAAAGATGGCGGATGTATTTATAGCGATGATAATGATAATAATAATATTTAATCACGACTACCGTAACGGGTCTCTATGGGTATAGTACGTCGACTGTTCTGCTACGAGGCGCTATCTTGACGCGAAACTCAAGGCAACCTCATCACTGTCGGAAGACACGAGGTCAAGAAGAAGACAGGCGTTGATTAAAAAAGAAGTGGCATTCCTGACGCCTAGCTCGTGCTTCGACCGCAGCCCATTTGTTATCTCTCTAGCCTATATATCGGCGTCCCACGCGGGGACCAGACTCCGACCCTGATTTATGCTCTCAGCGGCAGAACAATTTGTTCAGGATGATCCACGAGACGTGTTTTAGCTTAGGTCACTTTACTATCTGCTTGGCTTTGTTTTTATTTTCTCTAAAAGTTTTATCTCTTGCCGCGATAGATACCGCCATCTAGCTCACCTAGTCCTGCTACCACTTCCTCTTACTGATCCGTTCCATGGTCTTATCGAGACTGTTTAGCCCGTGTTAAAATGGCAAATAAATCTTGGCGATTGTCATGTACGCTACGCTAGGTGTCGTATACATTTGAAACGGCTTGGCTGGAGACACACAAGCAATGGGTCGGCCGGATTTTCAATGCAGCCCGCGTCCACGCGAACGACGTGAATTACAAAAGAACTCGCTCGAAGGCGCCGCGCATAACAACACAATGGTAGATTCATTTCGGCGGACACTCTTCGCTCCTACCTAGATTCCTTAAAGCTTCTTATGAATTCGCCATGAGGTTTGTAATTACGAATCGAGAGATGCGCACCGCGGTGAGCTTCGTATGCCTGGAGAATGCCACGGATTCATTACCATACAACATTCCACGTATTCCGAAAGACTCGAATTACACTTAACTGTTTAGTTTGAGGTTAGTGAGATTGTAGGATATTTTTAATACAATTTTGTTGGTCTCTTTCTTTCAGAATTAATTAATCCAAACGTAATCGTCACGCTCGGAGAACGTCTGAATCTACGCTGCGTGCCAAATTTTAACGCCGAGACGTCCTGGTACAAGGATAACGAGATACTTCGGTCAAACACGTCGCGCATGCGCGTGATGAGACAATGGATAAAAATCAAATTCGTTGAACCCATCGATACCGGAAGTTACGGATGCCGCGTGGAATCTGCCCAGGGTGTGGAATGGCGTAACGTATCGGTGATCGTTGAAAATCTACAGAACGACGGTATCCAGGAGAGCGAGGAACTTGGTAGCGTCCTGGGTGCTTTGAGGCCCGAGGAGGAGACGAATGAGCTCGAGATCGCCGCATCGAGAAGTAAGTAATTCATTCTGCAAATAAAAATAACGAATAAGATAAATAGGGACACGCGTGTACGTTACGTGCGCGTTAGATAAGTCAACGTCCTTTGAAAGTGTCCGGCTTAATTAACGATCCTCTCCATTTGTCTTGGTTGCTGTAACAGATCTACCGGAGACCAGGTCCCTTCATCTGGATGCAGACCTGGACAACGATAAGGGCGAGAATGAGAACGCTGGTGAACATAATAAAACGGCGCCAGAGAGTCCTCCGGCTTTTAATAAAACGGACGATATGCCAAGTTCAGTCGTTAAGCCAGCTGGGAATATGCTGAGAATACGCTGTCCCAGTGTCGGTAATCCAAGACCCAATATCACCTGGTTGAAAAACAATGAGGAACCGAAGAGAAGCCTTGGGACTGTTATACGTACCAAGTGGAACCTCAGGCTGGAGGATCTGGTAGTTCAGGATAGTGGAAATTACACGTGCATAGTCTGCAACTACCTGGGCTGCATCAATCATACCTACAAAGTTGATGTTGTCGGTAAGTTCATGTTGGATACATATTTTTCATATAGGTATATCGGTCTGGCTTATTGGTCCTCGGTCGGTAAAGTAGATTCTAAGAGACAGGACTTGCGCAATTGCATTCTCAATATGAGACGTAACATCTAGAACGATTCCCGCACAAACCGTACATCAACGAGGACTTCCCCAAGAACGTGACAGCCTTGGTATACAGCACCGTGACGTTCAAGTGTCCAATCATTTCGGATTTAGAGCCTTTCATTCAGTGGCTCAAGGTGTCCGAGTATCCTGATGATCGGGAGACTCAACCAAACGGCACCTTGCTAAAGGTATAGCCATACCAGACTACGTCCGGTGGTGGTTATTAGAATTTTTCCACGTTGACTCCCAAAGATCTTTGGGGTCATCTTTTTTTCTCTCTTCTCATTCACAAAGCAATAGGGAATTCTATTTTCGTTTTACTGTGGTGAATGGTCTCTGTGGGCTGCAGATGATTTTCTCTCGCACTCACTAAGTTCCTCGTTCTCGTCATCCTCTTCACTCGACTTATGGATCCTTTCAGGGTGATGGAAATTATTATCTTTGCAGAGAAAATAGTAAGGAGCTGAGACGTGGGACCTGCTATGGATAATTTTTTTTTTAGGATTTCAATCTAGAGACCAAAATGGCGAATATCAAGCATAATTTTTCTTTCTTACGTACCTTGTGGCTAATTCTCATTTTTTTATCATAAACTATAATCAATACTGCGCACTCTATCTATAATTTATATTTGTTACTAATACAAGCCATTCTACAGGGTGTTGGTTTACTTTTCTATCTATTTGGTGAATGGATTCAAAAATTTGTGATGAGCATTTTCATGGGGTAATGAAAAATAATTAACCCCCATGACAATTCTCTCTATTATCTACACTTCTTTTAGTGTGTCTAACTACTGTATGAGAATTCTGTAAAAAATGGTGGTTGGGTCTATTTTACCATAGAAAGCGTGAAGCACCAACCTATCCTGACCAGGGCACCGAAGAACACGACGGCTCTCATTGGAACGAACGCAAGCATGACCTGCGAGGTCCTTTCGAATGCCCATCGACATCTTGAGTGGTATCATGGCTACCATACTTCCTTTGACACCCTCAACAAAACCAACCAAAGCGTCCCGGTTGAGGTTAAGGTGGGCAGTTGCATGCACTAGTATCTTGTATTACTAAAGTGTCCTTTCTACCCTGTGTCGCTTATTTAGTTTCATATCTAACAAACATTGCTGTCAAAATAAATAAATATTGCATGACCAGGCCCTGTATGTCATTTTCGACATTTCTTTTTCATTGATATTTTTTTATCCCGTTAGGCTGACTCCTTAGAGAATCGGGAAGTATTGAAGTTGTATAACGTCACGGAAAAGGATGAAGGCTGGTACACGTGTATTGCCCAGAATACACTTGGAGAAACTTTCAGCAGCGCTTATCTGCGAGTAGTGGAAAGTAAGTATTTTTAGTGTGAACAAAAGATAATCTTACAGAATGATAACTAAATGTTTAAAATTATTTATTAAATAGCTCTGGACGAGCAGCGAATACCGTTGACCGCACGGCCGCAGACCCTCCTAGTAAACGTTCTGGCAGCTGTTTTGTTCGTTTTGTTCGCCATCGGTGTGATAGTCGTAATTTACATATTCCATCGGCTGAAGCGAGAAAAGATGAAGAAATTACTGGCGATTAAAACTGTACGCGACGCTGTGATCATACAGTGGACCAAGAAAGTCATCGTCGAGAAGCAGAACATGGTGAATAGCCAGAACGTCCAGGAACCATTGTTGATGCCGGTGGTGAAGATCGAGAAACAAAAGTCTACCGTCGCGGCAGAGGATAACAGTGGCGGAAGTATATCGGAGTATGAACTTCCGTTGGACAGCGCTTGGGAATTACCTAGGGAACATCTCGCCCTAGGTAACACCCTGGGAGAGGGTGCGTTTGGCAAGGTAGTCAGAGCACAGACCAATACGATGAAACCAGGAATACCCAGTGTGGTAGCTGTAAAGATGTTAAAGGGTGAGTAACGAATAAAGCTTTTCAAAATCAAGATTAATAAAGACGTTGAATAATCCAAAAAAAAAATGTTATTCCTCCAGAGGGACATACCGATGCTGAGATGATGGACCTAGTTTCGGAAATGGAAATGATGAAGATGATTGGCAAGCACGTCAACATCATCAACCTCCTAGGTGCCTGTACCCAGGGTGGTCCTCTTTATGTAGTCGTGGAGTTTGCACCTCATGGGAATCTTCGTGACTTCCTGCGGGATCACAGGCCATCATCAGGATACGAACCTACCATTGGCCAGGAAATGAAGGAGCGGAAGACACTCACCCAGAAGGACCTGGTGTCCTTTGCTTATCAAGTTGCTCGTGGTATGGAGTATCTCGCCAGTAGACGATGCATCCATAGGGACCTTGCGGCCAGGAACGTCCTGGTGAACGACGAGTACGTTCTGAAAATCGCTGATTTTGGACTAGCCCGTGACATCCACTGCCACGATTACTACAGAAAGACTACCGATGGCAGATTACCTGTCAAATGGATGGCTCCAGAGGCACTTTTCCATCGAGTCTACACCACGCAGTCCGACGTGTTAGTAAACGCGTTGAAACATTTATCAAATTTGATTTTGATAACACTTTTGCTTGCTGAAAATAATTATAAAATATATTATTATGTGCTTTAGATGGTCGTACGGAATTCTGTTGTGGGAGATCATGACATTGGGTGGTACGCCGTATCCTTCTGTACCTTCGGTTGAAAAATTATTCCAATTACTCAGAACTGGACACAGGATGGAAAAGCCGCCATGCTGTTCCATTGAGATGTAAGCAGATCTTGGTCCATTTTACTTTGTATCACAATAAAGAATATTTTCATAAAACTTCATTTGGTTATTATTCTGTATTACAGCTACATGCTTATGAGAGATTGTTGGAGTTACCAACCTAACGAGCGACCAATGTTTGGAGAATTAGTCGAGGATCTCGACAGGATATTGACAATAACAGCGAACGAGGTTAGGATCTTATATAAAATTTGTATCCTTAAAAAAATATTATAAATAACATACAAAAATGTCGTTCTTTTTGATTTATAGGAATATCTAGATCTTGGTTTGCCGCAGTTGGATACACCACCGTCAAGTCAGGAGTCAAGCGAAGCTGAAGACGACGACGAAAATGGTGAAGAGAAATTCCCTTACTTGTTGTGAAAAAAAAGATTAACATATGGGACCGATAAAGTCCCTGGTTTTATATGAACTTTGAGTTGAGAGACGAAAGAAGGAAAACAAAATCGGATCGAATCCCTATGTACTGAAGTGCCAAAGTGGATTTAACGCGGTTATGATATAAGGACGCGTTTGAGATTTCTGGAAAAGATTTCCGGCAGCGTGTACGTGCGAGTACGTTGGAGATAATAACCGACTGATAAAGCGAACACGCCAAATACATTATACAAATCAGTATTGAACAGTAGCGCGTATTTTGTAGAGTATAAGAAGCCACAAAAAGTAATGAGAGGTTGGAAGAGATGAAGAAAATTATGACGGGCAGGAATAGGCAGGAGTATGAACGTTGGAAGAAAGCAAGATAAAGGATTAATCGACTAGAAATCCAAAAAGGATATTTTTTATACAATCTATCTATATTTTCATTCGAGTCTTAAAGAATTGTGCCATTGACCACAGTGCCTACGTATCGTGGAGATCTACTTGTTGATGCGTTCAAGGAAATGAATTTAATTGGCCAATCGGTGGTGCGCATGATCCGTCATATTGTTTATGACGAACGATAGGTTGGATATCTTGATAAACACTAATATCCCCATGATGGATTTTTATATGTTTGATACAAAATGGCGGCATGATATTGCGTTTGTAACTAGTCAATTTATGAAATTCTGAATTTTTGTCTTTTTTTTCCTTTTCCTTTTTTTTTTTGTATGATAGAGCGTAGCGTTTCGTCTTAATGTTTCTACGTGCGTAATGTTTATAGCTTACGATTATCGCGAGGGCTTCATTGTAGTGACGAAGGTGACAAAGAACTTTTGTGGATGAAGAATGTAATTGCGAAGTCCTATAGCGTAGAAGTGCCTTTTATGAATTTATCCAAATGTTATGTGGAATCGTGGAGTTTTCGGGACAATTTTCATTCAGATGACTTTTCCGTGAGGGAAAATAAAAATAAAGAAAAAATTTGTTGGCGTTATTTTCCCAGGATACCCGAGATAAAGTGACCCGGAGCATTTAGAGAGCATTCAAAATGTACAGAGAGTGCGACACGTAGATAAAATACATAGTTTTTAGATAATTTATTCTTTGTAAAAATTAACGTTTCGAGAATTCCTCTTGAGAACTCTATTCTTTTTTTTTTACATTTACCCTGGCAGGTATTGTAAAACGGAAGGATCAACGTCCATCTTAAATTTACGATAACAAAGGGCAACCTGCACTTGTAAAAATACAACCGTAGATGTATGTAACATAATAAATACGTATGGATAATAGTAGCATAGCGATAGGAGCGTGATGATTGTACATATAGTAACGACTTTGTTTATTATTTAAAAAAAATTATCGTTACTCAGCACCTACAGGTAGCCAGTAAATCAGCATTTACCTAAAATACATAGAAAGTATAATGTGTATACTCTGTGTAAACCAATTGTAACGTGAGAGTTTCAACTCCAATAAATCAAATCTGTACTCTATTGAAATTCGAACCTTTTGTATCAGTCTTACTTGTCCTTATATTTTTCACTACTTTCTTTCGAGTAGTAATTTCGAGATACTGACCATTGGGTGATATCACTGGTAGCTACCCGAGTAGAATTTATCTTTACGTATATAGTATATTTTACATATATCAGAACCGCGCGGCACAGACTACACGGGCATGTCTAGTCTACATCGTTTCAATACTTTCTGTTATTGGAATTCAGAGCACTCCTGTACTTAATAATAATAGCGTTTTTATTGCCAAGATGTTACAGACAAAGGGCAAAAATCAGCTACATAAGTAACTGCTTTGCATTCTGACCCCTACAGATCACTGTCAGACCTGATCGTTATTACCTGTCATCTTAGCATATATGTAAGACGTTGTAAAGTCTTTCGTCTTCTTCCGTAGAAGATGTAGCACAATCCATTACATTTCATAACAATAAAATAGTAGAAATATCAGGTCCGTTGATTGGCAAGAACGTAGAATTCAGTTATTTCTCGCGCAAACTTCATCATGAACCAATCGGCATTGCGAAAAAGCGACAATGCTTTCAATATATTTTCGATTTGCAACAAATGAAATCTGACATGGATTTATTACTAAAGGGATATAAAATAATAAAAAAGAAACAGTACAAATTTATAGCGATCTTGTCGGAAACATTTTATCGCTTTAATTTTACCGAAAACAATGGCGACTAACATATAAATTACGAAATTTTCTATCAAACGTTCAATAAAGTGTCTTTTCGATAAATTGTATATAAATTGCGGACCTCAAAGGTACATTACCATTTACCGCACATCTCTCAATTTCCAAGTCAATTTTATAATAATTTATTACGATCCATGCGCATGTTGTAACTGTCATTAAACTTGTTTTAAGATAATTCACAAATCAAGAGTTGCTGGAGCGATCGCCTGTATACTTAAGTCGAAGTGAGACGCGTCGTGATCAGACTAATTGAAATAAATGATCAGACATATATAATGAGGCCATTAAGCCATGATTGATACGATCGGATTTAAGGTCGGCCCCTTAGAGTTTTCCAATTTTGCCACTACGTTGCGCCACTGTCAGTCCGTTTTGTTGTCATCAGCCACATTTACAATAAGTTGTTTTTACCAGATTTTTAGTGGAACCTTTTGTTCTTTTTTATCATCAACCATAGTGCCGTTCAACGAAAGAAAATGCTGGACCGAATGGGAAATGATTACTCAAATTTGTACAACCAGACTATCTTGTGAAAGTCATATCGACTTACGTTCCATATTAAGGTTAGAATTCGCTAACCCACTTTTTCATCAATCTTATTTAGCTAATTAATTTGAGTGAGGATTTATATATTAGTACATAAGTAAGGAGATTCAATCTTTGGACTAAGATGGACTATGTTAATTTTTTCTACTGTTCGTTCTCGTGATCTTTTTTATATCAATAATTAATGATTGTGACAGGAGTAGCAAGACAACTTCTTTTTGGCTTTGATTGCAGATCCTGCAATTTAAATTGATTAAGGGTTATGTTATCATTTGTCTTTTATTTTTGGTATTTCTTTTATTTTCCTTATACTCTAATTTTTTAAAATATTTATTATGCAATGACTTTGGATATCTTTAGTTAATAATTTTCAGGTGGTGACACCTATCGATTTAAATGGTGCTTACTGGTGCCATGGAGAGAAGGATAAAATTGAAGACCTTAAATAGCCATATAACATGTAAAATATGTCGGGGATACCTAATAGATGCAACCACAGTGACAGAGTGCCTACATACATTTTGCAAAAGCTGTTTGGTGAAACACCTAGAAGAGAAACATACGTGTCCAACATGCCAAATAGTTATACACCAGTCTCATCCCCTACAGTATATCAGTTTCGACAGAACTATGCAGGATATTGTCTACAAACTGGTTCCTGATCTTCAAGAAAGTAAGAACGTCATGATTTTTATCAATAACAAAACCAATACAAATTTCCTGACCACTATATTGTTTCAGATGAAATCAAAAGAGAAAGAGAATTTTATAGAGCACATGGTTTGCCTTGTCCTAAAGATGTTTTACCAAATGCTGGGGAGGTAGAAGAAGAAAAGGCAGCGGCAGATGCACATGCAGAATCAGATTATCATAGGGCAGATGAGCAGGTTTATTTTGAGTTCTTAAATACAATATCATCAATAATACACTTATATTACAAAATCATTTTGTAATGAAATGTATTCCCTATAGGTCAACGTGTGTCTGGAATGTATAAACGCAAGTTTGAAAACGCTGAAACGCAGATTCATTAGATGTTCTGCTCAAGCCACTATTACTCATCTGAAAAAATTTATAGCCAAAAAGGTCCTGAATGGTATGGAGAAATATCGAGACGTGAGTATTGCATAAAATCATTAAACATTATCAAAGTGTAATGATAACAGTAATTTTACAAATGTATATATTTTTTTCTCAGATCGATATTTTGTGCAACGATGAATTGTTAGGTAAGGACCACACATTAAAATTTGTGTATGTGACAAGATGGAGGTTCCGGGACCCACCTTTAAGGTTACAATACAGACCACGTATAGACATTTAAGGCTAATCCTTCCACATATAGGATTAACAATAGGGTCGAGAAAAAAAATGCGCTATTTTATTCCTCTCTGGTTCTATTCACCTGTGACCTTCTTGTACTTATGGTACTTAATTCTGTGGTACTCCTATATATCGCGCTCCCGCTAATCCTAGCTAGCAATGCTAATCTCGCGAAATAAGTGTAATTGAAGACGAAAAATGACGAATGACTTTTAGCGAGATGATTACACGAAAAAGTGTCATTGGAGTATTTTAATGCACGAGAAAGGACAACCTGGGCTATAATAAGAACTTCAGTGATCCGAATGTTGAAACTCTTCCTAATTATATCAAAACAACAAACGTATTGTATCGCGGTAGTACGTTTTTTTTAGCCATTTTCCGTAATTTCTCCTAAGAATTTGTTGCTCAGCGGTAAAACTCACTTTATCCAAGATAGTTATAAAAATCCATTATGATAGCTTGGCAGCGATTAGGTCAATTCAATTTTACTTACTTACGGTTGTAAGTTTTTAATTGCAGAGGCGAAGATAAATGACGATTCTGTTAAATAAGAAAAAATAAGAAAAACCTGTAAATGTGGCTGGTGCAGGGAAGTATTAAGAGACCGTCGGTAGTTTCCAGATACCGAAGAAAAGTATAATAATGCATTTGTCCTTAGGAACCACGCGAATGGCTTTACTTTTTAATTTTAAAAATTTTAGTACATAACAAATATAGAACTCGATTAATCTGTTTTGAAAACAAAAGTAAGATAATAAAAAAAAGACAGTAATAAACGAAGAAAAGCAAAAAAGAGAAAATGAAAAACAATGTACCGTATCTCGTCTCACTAGGGGATGGGAGTCGCAATAAACGCGAGTTTTCTTATAATCTATCCGAGTGTATATAGAATATTTTTGACAGAAAACTTCAAAATATAATACCGCTTTGAATTAGATTAACGATTTGAACTAACAGAACTAGGCCTGGACGTTGTGACTTTTTACCTTTATATGTTTATGCGCCGTACGTATTGTGTTCTTACTGTGAAATTTCACTCGTCTACGTCACTCCGGATGCAGATTTGAATTTAGTAGGAGAAGTATTTTCTAAATAAAAAAGAACAGAAATAATTAAATGACGAGAAATGGTTTTCGTGAAATACTCGTTTTCCAAGTGATTGTATTTTAATACTGACACTCCGAGTGAAATTGCCAGTAAAAGTTTGTCGCTTGTAGTAAGTGAACCTGTTTTATCCAATGTTAAAGGAAGCGTGTGATTGTACATAATATTTGAGAATTCGCGAGAATAAAATAATAAAAAATATTAAATTGGGAAAAGGGGAAATACCAATTCGCAAAGTAGCAGCATACGAGGATACTATGGCTTGTACGTTGTACACTGTGTATGTATCGCTATAAATTATTGAATAAATATGTTTTGTACAGTAAAAACCCTGTCTCATGTTATAAGGTTACGTTAGTTTAAGGAGAAAATAATGATGTGAAGAAATTGAATTCCACAACATTTGTGCAGCCTATACAATGCACTAATAACATTTTTTTCTTGAGACAGTTAATTGGACTGGTTCAATCGATTTGACTTGAAAGCGATTAAAACAAGATAGATGAGTAAAAGTAGAAGTCGTCGTCCTCTTGAAACGTGAAATAATTGTCATTTCAGTTACCGTTATAAATAATTGCTCACAAAGTATTTGAAACGAATGGTTAAAGTTTTTCCTATGTTTATTCGAAAGTGAAACAGGAATTGGAAAGATTCAAGAATGTTGAACCTTTCACTGGAACGTAACTCGTCGGAATCATCAATAAATTATGAAATTTAAAGGATAACCAAGATGTTTTCAGTCACCGAACTTAACTGAAAGTGAAGAACGGCATTCTTACACGGAATATCACAGAAAGTCTGTGGACTGTTTCATTTTCATTTCGTTCTGACATAATAGAAAAGCTGATACGGCATAGAACGCAAGGTTTCTGTACAGAAGACCTTGCCTTTCACTTTTACATACGCTCGACAAGAAACGATGAACGCTCGGTTGAAGTAATAACGAACAAAAAATAAAAAAAGCATATCGGCCTTTCTTCCGTATACACGAGACATCCTATATTGAAAATAAAAAACAGCAAAAACAAAAGAAATTCATATAACACACATTCTTGTCTAGTGCTAAGTCTGTTCCTGTTCTTTTATTCAGTTACTGAAAGATTTACCGTAATCTGGTATTGACTCTTGGATACCAATTATGTCGCCATCCCCCTATATGATAATTCCGAATTGTAACATTTAGCAGTAGGATGACGGGTTTCGAATTACATAAGGTTACGTAATTTCGAATTCGCGGCTCGACAACGTGTCTTCCAATTGGCTACGTGATTCACATTCCCAATATTTTAAACGGCCTTGGACAATTGCGCCACCTGCTAATAAAATTTGTTTCAAGATACTTGCGCAGTGTACAATTGCGCACTATAGTTAAAGATTTCTCCCCGTAAAAGACCGCCAATAAAACAATTAATCTTGTATGCCTGCAGAAGTTCATTTCAAATTACGGCTTAATAATCAGTAGTAATTGTCGTCAGTATCTCACTTATTAAATCTTTAATTATTTTTGTTTAATCCCCATAGTATCAATTCATTTTAAGAAAATTGTGACTTTGTAGAAGATGGTTCAAATTCTACTATGAACAACCGCCACCAGGCGTCTCCACGGTCATTTCAATACGCATGTGCGAAAGCACGTAGAAAAACAGCGTCTACGTGAATGTAGAAGTGTTCGATGTGTGATCGCCAGAGTCTATCGGTGGAATGGGGAATGCAGGAATTACATAGCTAAATATCCCCAATGAGTTCAACCTGTTTAATTACTATTTTAGTGCGCGGAATCGACGACCGCCTTGCGCGATAGATGAGTTTACAAGATAGCCTCTTCTCCGAGGACGTGGAGAACGACGTGACGCTCTTTACAAGCGACGCTAAGCGCAAAAGGTAGGTTGCCAAACATGATCATATTTCTTTTATACTAAATTGACGTAACTTTAGGTTATACCTAATGTACCTTGATGTTACTCCCACATACCATATTCGAATACTACCTGTTACTGATTACTTTTCTCCCAATGTCCGTCCCACAGTAAACATTGATCCTTGTACAACGTCACACGTATTCTCTAGTATAATAGGATTAAAAATTAAGTTGAGCAGGCGTCTCTATATTGGGAAACCTAAGAGATACAATGATACTATTAAGAACGTAGTACGAAGCAGATGGTTCCATCCATGATGTTTTCCTCCAATAATTTTCTCAAGTAAACTAACATTATATTCTAAAACAATTACCATTTATAGTTACGTCTTCCTGTATTGTTTTTATTACATTTTTTCTATTCTCCTCTTTCAGTATTATCTAACGGCATTCCGCGTTACGTTACTTGACCCAGAGTATCATTGAGTCATTGGCTATTCCGCATACTAAACATCCCAGTCTCGTTGCATGCTCGCTTTACCGGAATTTTTTCATGCGTCTTATATACTATTGTACTTACATGCTAAAATGACATGCTCGTCACGTATTCAAATGATTACATGATTTCTCACTGATGACAATTACAAGTAGTATACTTTTTTTTGGAGCAGCTTTTAAATCCATTTCTTTCTATTGTAATGATGCAATAGGGTGTTGATGATTTAAGTTTAGTCCTTGATTGATTTCTTTTATTTCATGTAATACATAAACGCTTATCGACCTAGGCTCGGGTTGCGCAATTGATTTTTTACTAACTTATCATTTATTACCACCGTGCTATGGCTAAATATAGATCATGAATTATGGTATATGATCGTATAACCGATATTCAGTAGTGCACGGCAAGGTAGTATGGTCTGTATAAAGAAAATAATCGCTAGCTGGATATGCCTTAATTTACGATTTGTTCCACTTGGCTGACTGGAATGCAATTTTCCTATCGCGTAATGCGAAATCGAAGAAGAAAACTATCAATTCTGTTTAGTAATGACTGCATAGTTTGAAGTGACTTTTACTTTGAAATTCAACTTTTTTTAATCGTACGATTACTTTTTGTATTTGCGGAATTCTCACGAGATTACCAGTGAATCTGCTGTACATAAGTATAGGCTAGATGTATATTCAGATATAGCAAATCTGATTTTTATGGAACAATTTTAATTGGATGAGTTTTTGGGGAATTACCAGCGACTTTTCGACTTCAGGAAGCCGGCGAAAGAGAAAGTTTCGTTATGTAAAAGTTAGTTGGTGCTTAACAGGGACCCCACTTGTGGGCCTCACGATTGCCTCTTGTATTCATGTTCTTCCGTTCACTTCTTCCAGTTCGGTTTTACTTTCAGACTCGAATAGACCGGCTTGTTTTCACTTTCAGAGTGCTCGTGTTTCCACCTGTAAATAACTACAGGCGATTCCTGATACATCAAATCGTACAGGATTCCTTTTCTGACCTTTTACACACGTTTTCCATTGGTCAGGGTCTTGCAAGAAGGACTGTTGTGTGTTACAAGACTGATCTGATCAGGTACAACGAATGATCCTAGATAGAAACTCAACCTGTGCTTATCAGACAAAAATAAGCTTTTAAGAATGCTTATTCATGTGAAATCTGTGAAAATATTCTCTTCCGATAGCTTCAAAAAAAAGACGTCAATGAAGATAAGTCGATAAAATGAAAAATTTAGAATCATTTGAAAGTTGTCTATATTTTGTATATTCAAATCCTAAAGCATTCTTTAATAGCTACACAATACGTATCGATTCGTATCGTAATAATACATTGCTTCTTTAATTGAAAAGGGACCCAAAAGTGAATGGTGGCCAATCCAAAATTAGCAGTGCTACGAAACTATCGGATTCGGCCTGTGCAATGGGTGTTGAAGGACAGCGTTCTCTATCCGTGTCTCCGGAACATTCACGACAGAGACAAGGTGTGTGATTTGAATTCAGTGCATTTTCTGAAGCAGACTATGGGATAACATAATGTGTTGAATGACGGTGTGCTGATTTGTGTTATTTTAGTGAAATCAGTTCCCACTGTTGAAATATATAGACCTCCTGCAGCCAGAAGACCCAAAACCGAAACTATCGTGGAAACCCAACCAGCAGATACACCCACTACAGAAATATCTACTGGGGTCAAGTAAGTTCCTAAGATGAAGTATCCATTTACGTTTTATAGTAGAGAAAAAATTACTTCATGAACAGAATTTGCCATGTAGGATTTGAACACTGATAATTGTTCATTATTTAATAGATCTACAAGGCAAAGGAGACCGGATCGCGCGGTCTATGTTCCTAGGCATCGAAGAAGTAATGAAGCAGAGGGTAGCCCGTTACCCCAAGAACCTAGCCGCCCTGTACGTTCAACACGTCATTCAACTCCGAAATCTACAGCAAGTCCTGTCGTAAATGAATTAGAACAAAATCACAAAGTTCAAAGTACTGAATCGTTCAAGAAAGAAGTGGAACCACGTAGCTCGACTAGACACAGAGAAACAACAAATGTCGATCACAATTTTGAGTGCAACGAAGAGAAAAAACGGGATCGCCCGACAGAATCAAAGTGTAAACAGATGAAAGAAAGTAATGAGGATTACCGTCAAAGTTCATCGTCAAAGATAGACAAAGAAGAGATCTCTGAACAGGACAGTGTAAGAGAGAAGTCTATAAGTGGTGTGTCGAATCTTGAAAAATCTCAACAGGAAGCTGTTCCTACTATTACAGAAAATCTTGAGCACATACAAAGGACGTGTATCGAGTCTGCACCTGAAGTATGTGAACGTATTTCTGAAGCACTTATCCTGAATGCAGAAAGAGAACAAGAGGAACGCTTATCCGTGTGTGAAACTGCTGACCCGAGCCTAATAGTCGAAAGTGATGTAATTAATTCTGAAACTATAAAAAATCCCATTAGCATAGAAAGGAACAACGGAGTTAGTGAGATTAAGACGACAGTGATCATGTCGTCAAATGTAAAAAAGGATCGTAAAGCAGAGGAAGATCTTATAAATCGTGAGGATGTGGTGAATCGTAAAAACCGACGTATAGTGAGACAAAATGTTGTATCCGACGTTCTTATAATTTCTGAGAACGAGCGTAAAACTGAGGTCGTAAGGAAAGAAACACCTGTCGTAGTGCCAGTATTATCAGTCGAGAAAAAAGTTAAAAAGATAGAAAGGCCTAAAAGTAAACCTGCATCGCCGCCATCACCGCCACTTAAGGTAAATCGTGACGAATGCGATTGGGATAGTCTTTTCGATGACAATGGAGAATGTCTAGATCCAACTCTTATCGAAGAAGTAAGTATCATGACATAATCAAACAAACTAGTTATTATTTCTTTATCGATCTACTTAAATATTTCATGTGTCCTGTTGACAGCTAACCTCAGCGGTTGGTGAAGTTAGTATAGAGCAGCCAAAAAATGACTATAAACCATATACTAGACCTGTAGAAGTATCGAATGATGAATTTGCCCATGTTGTGGAAATATATAATTTCCCATCGGATTTCAAAACCAGCGACTTAGCAGCTGTATTCAGCCCCTTCAAGAATGGCGGATTTGAATTGAAGTGGGTGGATGATACTCATTGTCTTGGTGTCTTCAGCAGTCCACTTATCGGTGAGTTCCAATGTAGGATAATTAATTCAAGAAACTAGCGCACCTATTTTCCCAGCTATCGATTATGTTATGCAATGCTGGTAAGATAGAGGTTGTGTTACGGCCAGAAAGTGAAAGTCAAGAGCTGTACAGGGAGGGCGACCATTATTACATCAGACAATCTTGCTAAGGGTCAGGTATAGTGTTTATAACAGTATAACAGTCCTCACTATGATTATAAATCTAAATTCTTTTAAGCTAGAAGTTTTAAAAATTACATACGCATTTCATTTTAATTCTATCTCCTTACGGAACCTATCTAGCAACAATTACCTGACTCACATTCCACAGTAACTAATCATAAAAAGTGCCATGTTACTGTTGCATGCTGTAAAACAGTGCACTGCTGAGATAGCAATCTTTGGACTTCCTCATTTCTCTAGGAAGATTTAAAAATCGAAGGTGATTTCTCCTTTCTTAAGTCATGATTGCGTGTCGTTTACCTGTGGAAAACTTTCCATCACGTAGTCTCAGGTGTCGAGATGTAATGAAGCGATCATACAATAAAAGGGGACTCAAGAATTTAATAGTCCATCGAATCTTTATAATTGTTCTGCAGCCGATAAGTCAATCAATTGATGATAAATGAAGTTTTTTCATCAATAAGATCAACGAAAATCATTGATACTCCAAATAACTCATTGTATCTAGTTTTCTTTTCCATTAGTGTTAAACCATGGTATCATCTATTACTTACAGTAATTACAATACAAATTAGTAACAGCCTGTCTAGAATCTTTGTGAAAGTAATATTCATACTCAGTGGTTATAAATGTAATGATCCAGGTAGTATAAATTCCTCATGATTCTAGTAAATACGCAAAATGCACAGAAATTTCATATGAGCTTATTTGTGATAAACGAATGAACAATTGACAAAGCATTCCAGTTACTTAATAAATTATTACAGTCTGGATATCGAAGTGCAGTCCACAAGTGCATATATGTGTTCATAGGAAGTTTCTACATCGTACTTTCTATCGCTAATCAGAACCAACCTACATTACGCAATTCGTGGGCTATACGTGAACGTAACCCACATACTTACATTGTACACTTGCTACATGCACTAATAATATATTGAATATTCTTAATGTTTTTATTAGCTGCTGAGGTCTTGGCATCGGATCATCCTTTCGTGAAGACACGTTCTCTCAGCGAAGCCACCGCCTTAAGTAAAACGAAAGCTAGAAGAAGTGCAGAATTTCTGCAGCCATATAGAACACGTCCAGAGACTTGTGCAGCCATAGCCAGGAGACTGGTTACTGGTGCACTTGGTGTCAGATTGGCAACAGCTCGCGAGGAGCGGGAACGAGAGAAGATCGTATTACAAGAGGCAAAGGGTGAGATTCTTATTTAGAATAGCAAAAAGAAATACAGAGAGAGAGAGAGAGAGAGACAATGAAAGGTTATTCTCGTGATTTCTATGTTTTCTTTTTCTTTCCTTTAGAAAAACGAAGACTCGCTAAAAAACAACGAGAAGATGCTTGGGAAGGCGTGATAGCAGACAAGTAGCACCCGTACAGTAAAGTAAATTATGTTAAATCGAAAGGACTCCTGGATAACGCATTTACAAAGTGAGTCCATCCGTGTCTCGCTCATCTAGCCTATTACATTTTTCTTTTCTTTCGTAATACTCGTTCCTGAACAAATATACTATTTGTTGAATAAATATATTGTATGTTCAGCTAATGATTATACCACCGGTAAATGGGTTTTGGGTATATACATGTTTTCATGGCTATTGATGAACGCGGCACGGAAAACAAAGATAATTGTGATTCAACGACGTTCCCGAATTTCCATTGAAATTGTGAACGCGCACTCGTATCCTATTACTTTCGGGGTGTAGGACGATTTTGTACGACACGATTGATACGACTCTATAGATTTAAGTTGATTCAAGATATTCATTCACGTGCATATCATACGACGCAACGTAAAGAATTATATCCACACCCACTTCGCACGTGATAATTATCTGGATACCTGAGAAATTCTAGTAATTATTTTAACCTGAAAATCTGTATTTTCTATGACAATAGCTTTTGTAATGATATTTATACGTTTTGGGTTGCGTCATTTTGCATCTGTGCAAAAGGTAATTACCCTTATGTGTAATAGACAGGAACAGTTTTCTTATCGTGCAATTTCTAATACGAGACAATAAGATAAGTGAGAATCAGAGGGACTTGTTCAAAACTTTTTACTTGTTGATGCTTTCGCAAAAGAAAGCGCAAAGAACGAGATTGGATCTTAAATTAATTGTTGTAAATGGAACTATGCAGAAAAATAAAGAGAAGCGTCTATTCTCTTGGCATTATCGTCGCTTTTGTTCATCTTGGTGTGAGACGTTTAAGAGATGATGAAAAGATCGTGTAACGTAGATCGATGCAAACACAAATTAACACGAATGTTGTGCCACAATATCTATTATTATATATGTTTACGTAATTGTTAAGACCTGACGCACAATCAGTTGATGAAGTGTTGTATACATACTAGTGATTTAACGTGAAACCTCAATGCAGATTGTATTTTTATATACAATTGTTACCAATTGGGAATAAAAGTATGTATCGCCAAGTCCTAGTCATTACGCAGGAGGCATGTTACCTATATTCAATGTTACGTTGCAATATGTAATCAGCTAAAGAAGAAAAAGGCATTTGTCGGAATGACTAATAAAGATATTTTATGTACTGCGCACATATCGTTGCTTTTGTATTCTCTATATTTAATATACCCATTACAATTCATTTTCAGGTAACTCTCGGAAATGTCATTTGAAAATACATGGGTGGCATGATGAAGACACGCAGTTTTAAATTTAGTGAATTTGCATCCGGTGATTCAGTTGCGTATTTACAGGTTTTGGTAGAAAGTAAAAAAATGCATTAAAAATTTTTCACTCTCATAGTGAAAACGACTTTCTATTACTTTTTCCTAAGAGGAAACACTGAATTTTTTATTTTGACGGTTATACTGTTTTTGACTTTCTTTTACCACTTGCCACCTTTCTTTTTCTTCTTTTGCTGAACTTTCCTTTGTTGTTGTCTTGGCCCTGATGATTCCACTGCTGGACTGTGTCGAGGATTCGGAGATGGCTTGGCGTTTGCCGGCATTTTCGTGATGTCACTGAATACACAACATTTCGTGTAAGGAATGCATATTCTCTTGAATGAGTTAATTAATAAAAAGAATATTTAATATAAAACTTACTAAAGGTCGCTAGCTCCAGCTGCAGCACCCTGAGTTCCTTTCATGGCAGCATCCCTATTCCTACGATCCCGTTTCTTTCTGAAACCACTTCTTTCGTGTCTTGGTAACCATCTTTCAGGATCAGGAGGAACATTAGGATCGTAATTCTTTGGTAGTTGTCCCTTGCGTTTGCGCTTCTTATTCTTCTTCTGCGTCAGATCCGCTATGGGTTTTCTAAGGATCAACAAAAGAAATTGGATAATCAACCACATCAAAATGGGAATTGAGATTTGATATTTTCGATAATAATTAATGCTTACCCAGGAGATGGTTCCACTTTACGTTTTACCACCTTGGTGCCGATTACCCAATTGCTGCTTTCCAGAGCGTCGACATCTGTCGTTTCCGCTAGGTGATGTAAAGGTGGTAGACGTTTTGACAAAAGCTGTGCTCTGGCAGGATCAAACTGGGCGTATGCTATTACCAATTGCGCTAATGTTTTAGTATCAGTTGGAGATGCGGCGAGTAATTCTTCTAAACTGGCAGCTGCTGCACTGACTTCACCTCCACGAAGATGGAAGTCAGCTGCTTGGCGCCATAATGTTCCCAGGTTTCCTGTATTTTCCTAAAGAGTTGATGAAGAATGTATTATTCAAATTCATCATTTAAATGATTGAATGATTTCCACGTACCTTATTCTTTTTGTAATAATTTACAGCTTCCTTCAGCACAGCCGAAGCCTTATCGCGATTGTTATCTGCCAGAAGAAGAGTTACAAGGGCACTAACTATTCCAGGAAGTGATCTCTCTCTTTCGTTAAGATTTTCTAAAATTTTTACTGCTTCTTTCCTCTCATCCTGACTCAGCAGTAGCTGCACACACGCTAACTTCAACGGCAGCTGCTTATCCCCAACTGCGTGAGCACTCAATAATTTTGCAGCTTCCTTTGCTTTGCCTTCCTTGCTCAACTGAACAGCCTTCACCAGAGTAACGTCCGCTGTTAACTCCGGATGCTGGGATGCGAGTTTGTTGCACAGTTGCTGGCAATGTTCACCTTGATTGGTGTACATTGCTAGTAAGCATTGATTGTAAGCGATGCTTCTTCTTTGTCTCGATGTTAGCTTGTGCTCCAATCCTTCATGAGTAGCACTCTTCATCCGCTTTTTACTGTCGAAAACATTTTGGTCCTTGTTCAGAGTGACCAAATTGTTACTAGCTACTGCAACCAGAGCAATATCATCTGGTTTGGCTTTGAGAGCTGCAGCGTATAAAGTTTGAGCTTCCTTCTCGCGACCCTGGATTTGTAAACAGTAGCCTAGTTGGACTTTTATGATGCCAACTTCATCTTCTATTTCTTCCTCTGTTACTCCATCTTCTTCGAGAGCTTCACGACACATTTTCTCAGCAGTCCTTAACTTTTTCTCAGCCTCTGCTAGGATGGCTCTATCACCGTTGTTACCATGAGCAACTAGCTGACATGCAGCATTGTAAGTCAACTCATATGTAGTTTCCCTTAGGGTTGGAACCTCCAAATCCTGCGATGAAAAAATAATATTCATATTTTTGTAGTTTAGTTTAAGGTATTTATAAAAAACTGTAATTACTGAGCCTTCGATGGCCAAGTTGACCAGAACAGCAGCCAAATTAGTTTCCCTTTCATCTTCGTAGTCATCATGGGTATTTTTAATAATGTCACGGTATACTGAGAAGCAATCTTCATACTTTTCAAGTCTGTACAGAATCTGTGCTTTTAGTTCCTTAAGTTTTAGCGATGGATTCTGTACACTTTCAACCACCTTTAAAGCCTCCGGCACTTGGTTTAAACGGTATAAACAGTATGCCTTTTCAAACTCCAAGTTTCTGATATGCAAATCAATAAGACAATATGGAATAACTAGAAAAATTTAGATATATATCATATTTGTATAATTCTTACGAAGACAATTTGGGGTTCTTGACAATGAATTGCAGTGCATCATTGAATTTGGACAATTGGATAAAACAAATAATTTTACAATGGAAAGCTGCTTCTTCGTCCTGAGAAATACCTAAAACTGAACATAAGGAAAGTATTTAGATAATAAAAGTAGGGCATATCAAGGTTTTATTGCAAATCATAACTAATATCTAAATTTCAAGAATTATGCTATTTAACAATATATTCGTTGTTATTTGGAATCGAACCATTTCAAGTTTTTTACAATATTGCCTTATTATTTAATTAGAATTTGAAATGTTCGTTCACAATACTAAAAAAAAATATGAACTTGGAGATCTGTAATGAATAAAGATCAGAACAAGTAAGATTGAAATTGGGCGTTCAAAATAAATTTGTAGAGACATCTATATAAAAAACATACTTCTATTTGCGGTCTTCAAGGCTCTTTCGTACTCTCCATTTTGTCCTAATTTATTTAATTCCGCGTATAATGCAGAAAGATTAGTTTCCTTCGAAGCCATATTGGCCACTGTTCTCTATATCCAACTTGTTCCAACTGTATGTGCCACGGTCGTATAGTCAGCCACATTACAGCCATAGAAGTACGAAGCATAGATAGTTTTCAGGGGTTCTTATTATTCACATAACATCAACGCAGACTCAGATAAACTATACCATAATCATAAATTCTTTATTTTTAAATTTACGTATACACAAGACCTCAGAAATCCAGTTATGGATGCAAATACATATGTCAATCAATCATGAACGTTCCATGCAAATTAATTCATGAGAAGAGGAACATGTTTTTGGTCGAGATAACACTTTAGGACTTTTCCTGCAGTTTCGCAAGCGTTAGCACCAGCTGTAACAAAGCAAGTCAATGAATTAACATAAATATTGTCTAGATTGTCCAAAAAAGCCCGTGCCGTTCTCTTAATAAATCAGTCTCAAAAGTACGTACTTAGTCCCTTGCAAGTATTTATGATGTTATCTGCCTGGTCCTTCGGGATACTGGAAGGAATTTTGGAACGAATCACTTCTTCGTTGATCTTACCATCGGGATCCATCTAAAAAAAACAAAAACGACGAAGGCAAAAGATTAAAACTAAATTTCAAACTTTTGTAGAATTCACGAAAAATCGATTATCAGGGCGCCCAACTTACAACTCCAATTTTCTTTAACAAGCAAGCAGAGAAACATGCTAACTTTTCATCACCATCGGAGTAGGTACCCTTCTTGGCAGCCTCGATAACAGCTAAAGTAAATAATGTCAACTTCATTAATTACCATTCTCATGGAAAAACCTTATTGTTACGTAATATTTATTAAATATTCTCTCACAAGGATCAACGCCAGTTTCCTCAATACAGGATTCTTTATAAGTCTTCAACTTGGTGATTTGTTCTTCGGACAGTGCAGCCTACAATGTTAAGAGAATTTTATAAAAAATTTCATCTCATCCATAAACTGTTGGTAAATCTAAACCAAGTAATACTTGATTATCCTCAAACTTACCAAAGTACCAGCAATGCACAAAGCAAATACAGCCAGGAAGGTCTTCATATTGACAATGATAAAATAGCTGACAAACAAGCAAGTGGTCCGTTTAAACAGTTACTGAATGCTGCTTCTATGATTCCTTTTCCTTTTATACGTTACCATCTACATTAGCGTTAGGGATTACATACGTGAAGAAGCTGTCGACCAATACAGATAAAAAGTCTCCTACCAACTACACGGCTGATGACCATCGAGACGCGAAGTTGCTCCTTATTAGCCTTTGAGAGGCAAGTCTGGCCAGTTTATTTTGATTAATATACATATATAATTATAGTTAAAACTGGTCGTAATAGCCCCTCGGGTTACTGTTTATTATGAACGTTTATGAATTTTGGACTTTGAGCCTGGTTTAGTAAAAGTATTTCTCGTTCCATTAATATGGCATTTTTATTCCTAATAGATTTCGTATAGTACAGATATAATACATAAATTTGACGTTTTATATTTTGCACATTGTATTGTTCATTTGCTACGCAAGTGAATCGTAATACAGTAACTTTTATTACTTCCGTGACAATTACGAGTGATATTCCTAGAAATATTACGTGACAGCCAATTATATTATGTTTGAACGTGTAACAAAATTATAAGACATATTTACTTAGTGATTAAAGATGTATCTATTGCGAAATTCTATTTTTAAACAAATTCTTAATTTATTTTTTACCCATAATTGCAATGAACATTGAATCGATGAAAATATAACAAAAAATTAATTCTGGTCGTATTGCATGTAATTTAAATAAATATTATAAATATCAAACATGCATAAAGAAATTATGGATAACAATTCTGAAGGATTAAAATATTATTTGTTCCAGGAAATCAAAATATGATTCTGGTGGCAACAAATCAGAATCTTATGTTCCCAGGAAGTAAGTGAGAAAAGAATAAAGGCAAATACAAAGTGAGCAAATTATAGTTAATAGAGGTTATCATCAAGCAATTATCATTGTTTCTGGCGGAACTAAATGATGGGTACATCATCCATAATGCCATGAGGCATCTTATGTGTTATGATGCTTCTGTAATAAAATGAAACATATACATGTATATATTAATTGTATTTCAAATAAAATCATATTGACCGTGGCCTGTCAACGTTGCTATTGGGTAGTAATAATTTGTTTACGTCATTCTGTATAACGCAATTCAGCATTCTCCTTAATTTTGTTCTCTTCATTGAACCTTAGAACAGACCCCCTATAGGAAACCGGATTTATCTGATTAGCAGTACTTACTAAAATGTCTAGGTCTTTGCCAGACAGACTCTTATTATTTATTGTTCGACAATGCATGTGTCAATCATGTGGCAGGAAGTCATTGATTAAATAACAAGCCATCACCATCATCAATCTGAAAAAAAACTCACTTGGTTAGTATAGTATTAACGAATTTCCTATTATTTTGATAAACCATGATATAATGGAGGATGCGAATTTTACATTCAATGACGATGATGCTGACTCAGCTAACAATTCTGTATTTTTCCACAAATTATAATAACACACTGGATATTGCTATATAAAAATGTTTACTGGGATTTATATGGCTAAAAAATGCAGGACCTAAAGGCAACGTTTCTAAGCTTCTTCTCTTTTTTTTTTTTAATCAAGCATCATGCAACGTTTTGAGTCAGTGTTACTTTGCTACTAAATTTCTGTCTCTCATAAATGACATTTAAATTTATATGAAATGTTATTAATCATTTGATACTTCATTATTATATTTTGGCAGTTTTAGTTCTCTTCGATTTTATCATATCGATTCAATTCTAATGAGCCGCTAAGTGCGGATCAGTTGACGAAAATACGTGAAGTTGCCAATAAATGTTTCGTAGACAAAAGCTTACAGAGCGAATTGAAACGGATGAAGTTATGAACTAATTATATTAAAAAATAAAGAATAAAAAATTATTTAAAAATTGTTTAAACAAATGTTATTTATTTTGACAATCAAGAATATTATACCATTGTTCATTATATAGCTATAAAAACAGTCAGTAATAAAAAATCGCATTAGGCATTGTACAGTTGTAGTGAATTGTTCTGAATAATAATAACGCTTTTTAAATTGGCTTCATTACCATGAGTCGCGAAAAAAGAAAATAACGGCAAAAAGAAAAATAAATTAAAAAATTTGTGTAAAAAGTAAATTAGTATTATATCCCAGTTGTCGAAAGTCGAGTTCGCGCCAATTTGCATATAAAATGCGATTTTCAGTCCGAAGTTCAACATTGCTCATCAAAATGAGGGTCCAGGTATTACCGTTTTGTCTACTTGTGATGATTTACGTAAGTGTGATCCGATCAAAGCTTTGTACGATCTAAAAATTTAATTTATCAATTAATTGAACTAAGCATTTATTAATTACACTCTCTACTTTACATCTCAGACAACTTGTTTCACTTTGGCATTGAAAATACCTATGACAATGCAGAAACATCTGAAGCCCTGTCAAACAGAATTGAACCTAACTGATAGTAAGTATATCTTAAAGATTTATTATCGATATATATATGAGCCATATTCATTATTGAGATACAATTCCATATAAAATAATTGTATTAATTCTACTAAAATTCAGGCACACTTATGAATATCGAAAAAAATGACGAGAAAAGAGAATTGAGATCGTGTTTGGGTGCTTGTATGTTAAAGAGGGAAGGAGTTGTAAGTATTATACCAATATGAAGGAATTTTTAATTTTAGAAAAAAGGCTTGTATTATATAAATCAATAGAAATAATCGCATTTTATATATGATCATTGTGCAGCTTAATGCTAACGGGACGTTTAACAAAATGAAAGCCATTAATATAATTGATCCTCGTGTATCAAAAGAGGATGCCTATAAGGCTATTGATAATTGCCAGAATGAAGGTACGTACAGCATGGATGATTCTTAGCATGGATGATTCGTTGCAATTGTATTTCCAGAGATAAATATATAGGTATCTTGTTTTCTTTCCTATAGTATCCAAGAATATATGTGAAACGGCCGAACTGCTTTATAAATGTTTTACGGTAAATGAACTCACCGGATTAATCACATGATTACTACGTAGCGACACATGTGACACTCCAATTTACATTTCAGGTATACAACGTGTTATAATCTGGATTCGTTTTACAAGAAGAAGTATTTCTATAATAAGAAGAAAAAAGAAGTAAAAATATCAGAATCCAGTCGGCGGCATAATGTGAATTTTCGATTAATAAAATCATGAATATATATATATATTCCTTTAGTATCCGAATCAATAAATTTATAATAGCATCAATGCAAAATATAATCATATTAAAGATATTGATATACTGGGTCATACAATCCAAACGTACTACCTGAACTTAGTGCGACTATTTGATTCCTATGGTAAAACCATTTAGGTGGTGCGTTTCGGATGATTAACCGAGTATATATAATTATAGCAGATAATCATCCGTTATAATGAGTTAAAACTGTAAGCTACTTTAAGGTTCATTGGCTTCTTTCAACTGGATATGTAAATAGATATTTATTTGAACTTACCACGTTCGAATGAAATAACATATGGCAATGGATTGTTAAAAATTTGTGGCCTTCTTCAATATTACGAGACATGAACTACGTTTTCTTATATACTGTTGAATAATTAATAATGCTTTCTATGTGAATTCTCTTCGTCACTCTCTTTTTGTTTTCCTCCTTATTATCATTCATGTTGAGCGACACATAAATAACTGTTCTGAAATGCTGTTTGAAAATTGTCAAAAATATGTATGGGGCACGAGAAGACAAGATGGCGTCAATAAGGTATACTGTACGCTGCTGACTCAAACGGAAAATTTACGAAACTGCTCGACTTTTTCGTACTTTTATGTTGAAACCATCAAAAGATTCGGTAGTCCGGTGTTATATAGTACAATTGTGGTATTTGCCCTCGTTTAAGGATAGATAAGGCCACAAGAAATAAAAAGGAAATGTATTCGACTGCCATGGAATATTGGTGGAATTTCACGTAACATGAGCGTATATGATCTATTGATATTTGAAAACTATGGGAGATAAAGGTGAGTGCATTATAAATAACGGAGAGCAATAAATATTTTTTCATCGTCTTTTTATCCAGAAAGAAACAGGTTCCATATGAGAACATGTGTTCGTTTAGAAATTAATGTCCGTGAATATTGTTTTGTACTGAGCGCATATGGCAGTTTTATACCGCGAAAATGATAGAAGCTGACATACATATTTGAAAGAGGACGATCACGAGTAATTCTTATTTTTATTGAATATTTTGAAAGAAGGCATAACATCTTTTGCCGGAAACCAAAAACTATTTTGTTATTTTTAAATAATTGCATAATTGAATGGTTGCAAAATTTAAGTGGTGATGTTACTCGAAGGGCTTCAAGCGATAGGTTAGGGAGATAATAGGTGTATTTTGCAGTTCCAATATAAATCATCAGAGTATTGTGTTGCATTAAGTTTGTGACAATGATAGAAATCGTTCTAGAAGGTCTAATTCTTCTGGAAGTTCAAGAGGCATTAGTCGATTTATAAAGTTATCCATAATTCATTTAGAAGTGTGTATTAAGATAGGTTTTAGGATTATTCAATTTTTGTTATAGAACATCATGTACACTTTAGTGGTGGGAGTGGTTTTGGTAAAGATAATAATATCATGATACAGCCGCAAAGGCATGGACATATTGATGTTCATCTCGGATTTCTTCAACTTCATCATAGGTAAACATAACATAACTTTCTGTATTTTATACATAGTTTTTTTAATTTGTGTATATTTCTTAGGTACCTTGTAGAATTTTCTATACCCTGGAATTTATGTATTCATGGTGAAGGTAATATCATAGCACCTGCAATGATTGTTGAGAGTCCTAATCTAAATTGCCGCATAATTGATTTTGCTCAGGATAAGGATGGTCTTAGGTAAAGTACCCTGAATCTACATAAGATTGAATACTAAAACTGCAATCACTGATAATTTGATACAGAACATATTTAACATTTATATAATGTAATTTCAATTCAATTTGTCAAATTGAATTTAATCTGCTATCAAATATAATTATCCCATGATAATACTAAAAGCTGTCTGATAGATTGAAGATTGAACTGCTGGCGTACAAGGAGAAGATCCTAAAGGAGGAGGTCCAAGTAATGTGTTGTAAATCTGGTTTGCCGCTTAAAATACTTTTAAACGCGCGTGTCTTGGGAAAAGATAAAGGAACCCCATTACTGCGAAATGGTATTCGCAGTATTGCTGTGGAGAATGATCATGACGAAGATGATGATGATGATGATGACGACGAGGATGATGATGAGGTCTTGGAGTAGATTTCAAATCAGTCAACTCTTGAAATCTATCCATAAGAATTGAGATTCCTTTCTGCAGGTAATTAGGACCAGACTGAGGATGTCTCTTAGCATGGAAAACCGCCAGAAGCCCTGAAGAGAATATCATTTTTGAAGAAGATGCAAATTTATGATAGTCATCCTGAAAAAAACGTTGAAAATAGTACTCCAAATCTAAGAAAATGGTTAATAATCTGGTTGGAGTACAAGCCTGCATGAAATTGCAATTATTTGCAAGAAACGATATTTTTAATAAGACGTGCATAATTCGTTAACAAACAAAAATTTGGAAAACTATTTGTGATTCTCCAATCTTATCTTGTAGCTATGACTGAGAATGAAAATATTCAACAATTCTGGTCACTAGCCTTATAGTTCCTAGCATCCTTAAATTTAAAAAATAGCACGTATTAAGCTATATTCTATCAAGTGTTCTATGTCTCATGACATTTAATTATTTGTGTTGCCTATCACGCGAGGCCTCTGTAATGTATGGTGAAATGATTGCACCTGTATTCATAGTGACCAAAATGTATTTTATTATCGTTTTACATCGATCGCATTCGAAATTCGAATTGCAATTTGCCATTGTTTATCACGGATGGGAGGTAGCTAGAATATTATCAATGATGTAAACCATAGAGTTTCTTGATTCTAGCTAATAAAGTCATATTACAAAAAAATGAATTACTCAAATGGCTCATTATTTTATTTACAGTATTTGTACAAAAAATTGTAATTTGAATCACGCTGTTTAGCATTGAAAATTCAATTTCTTCATTGGAATCCCAGTAGGTCCGTCAACGAATTCACAGATATTAAAACCCAATTTAGCAAGTGGATGACAATTACTTTTCGGATTACCCCATTTGCCACGAAAAGTCATCCATCCCGGTAATGGATTTCTGTCTTCAGCATGAAGTACTTCAACATTTTGCCACGTGGGCCAGGCAGTCCCAAAACCACTTTCATCATAAAGTCTAGGAATCCTAACAAATTTATGTTTTCCAGGTGCTGTCCAAAGTCCATGAGATCCTTTAGCACTGAAGAGAACCGGATGTGAACCAGCAGAAGTGAATACACGTTCCGGAAATATAGGTTTCTGAAAGATACCCTTCCGAGTCTCTTGACCCTCATAAATAAAAGTCTTGCTGTGCCTGTCATAACGATAAAATGCACCAGCATCATGAGCAGAAACGTACATAGCCATAGGATAATCATCAGTCTGCAAAGTAAAAAAAATGATATAATACAAAAATAATTGAGTAGTACATAAACTGAATGCAATAATCAGCACCTTGAAATAGAGGCTCATGTGCTCCCAGTCTCCAACATGGTTTCCATACTCTTTAAATCTACCCATGCATTTTCCTCCCACCAAAGGGATCGGCCAGCTGCCAAAAAATCCAAGATCCAGAACGCAGACTGCCTTTCCCTTGCTGAACGGGTAGAACATCCAATAGGTCACGTGAAAGTGCAACTTCCTGTATCTACGTTTATCAAAAATGAAATTATCCTCTTCATATGAATCCATACTGGACTCCTTTGACAACAAATCATTATTCTGTACACCAGTCAGGATATTCAAGTCTTCACTCCTCACAGAATTTGTACGTGACCACCCGGATCTGATAGCTTTTGAAAATCTTCCTAATGCCGTGCAGCTTTTCACGAGAGCGTAAATCGGCACAGTGCCAGCTGGTTTCCTTCCGTACAAGAACGATGATCGGTTTTGTAGCAGCAACTCTGCCAACAATAATTTATTTAGGAAAGTATCGACTTCAGCCACCTTCTCTAACATTTTTTAATGTATAATCAAGCTAAGGAAAGTTAATCCTCACTGCATTTTCTACTTGAGGATAATGTTTCTTTTACTATTTATCAAGGAGAAGTCTTTCATGTCAAGGTGAAACCACTCAACTCTCATTCTCCTTTAATCCAAAACTTTTAATTATTATTCAGAATTCATATATAAAAATTATTTATAAAAATGATGATTCCCGAAAGAGATAAATACATAGTATCTTCTTCACTCACCAACGCTCTCCCGAGTTCTAAGATAATTATCTCCAGCGTGGACGTTCTCCAGAAACTCAGGGACACCCAAAGGTAAGAATTCTTCTCCAGGAGCTAACCAGACCAGTGGAGACCAAGCTTGGACCAATGACCTTACTGTAATTTATTAATCAGCTCTATACCGATCAGTTGACCTTCTATGCGGTGATATTACCACAGTAATCTTTAAAACCACGTAACCTGGACTTGGTAGATGCATTCTACTTTCTAGCTTTCTTCAATTATGAACATTAACACTTGACCTCATGTATGCGTACATATATATATGTATACAACTGATATATAGGTAATGTTATACTTAATACTAATGTAAAGCAAAAGAACACTTCGATCAGTATCTTTTCCTAGTGGATAAGATGAATTTGTTCCTGTCGCTCGTTATGTTTTGGTTGGGTGATAATCATACTCATGGCATGTATTAAGTAAAAACCGAAGAAAACCACGTTACAGACTTAAGAATTAAGTACATATGTAATTATTCATTAATTATTGCACTTCTTCAAAGTACGACTTCCGTGTGTTACGTATCCCTGAGAGTATATCAAGGGAAATGGCTCAAGTTATTAAAATACCGGAAGGAGGACATCGGATTATTAAAGCACTGTCGCTAAATCGTCATGGTGAATCGTCCTCTAACGAGAGAATCACGGATAAAAATGTATAACCGTTAACCCAGGTGCTCTCAACCAGTTTGATTGAATAAGTTAAAATCGACGAAGAAATTGGAAATGAAATTAATACAATGGGATCAGATTTTTGTATGATTTTATAAGTCTAGTTATTTAAATAAGAACAGATAGATATCGCATTCTTTTTACCTTGATTCTCTTCTTCGATTCTGGTGCTCCTCCCTGGACGAAGTATTGATAAAATTATAAAGAAACAGCCTCTCATATTCTCTCTGAAGCATCTTGGTACTCGTCCAAGACAAAAGGAATTTTACTAATTTATCAATCATCCTTGTGACGATAAATAAATACATGTTTTACGAATGCACCACATTCTCCCGCTTTTATGTATTGTCTTGGACTTTCAAATTGGTAACTGTCGTCCGTTATTAAGTGACACCAATTGAGCGCGAAAATAATTAATATTCAAAAATCAAACTGTAAATAAATCGCTTCACGATTGAATACGGTAATATTCATAGCAGATCCCTCGCCTTTAATGTTTCAAGACTGACTGAGGTTCGTTTCATGTTTCCCTCACTTCCACCATTCACTGCACGCATCGCTATACCTGATATTATCGCGTCTCTCTCGGACTCGCAACGTTAATCCACCTTACGAAAGAGGAAGTACAGAAACCGGAAGTTCATAGGCCATTTATAGAGACCGAAAAGGAAAGTGTCACGATCATTTATAATTTATACATATACCGTAATGCAGAGTGTAATAACGATGTAATTTTCTTTTTTTAAAATCAGTGTTTATTTTTTAAATTGACGTAAGAGCACCGTCGTATAATATCCACGAAAATTATACTCGTAACGTTGTTTTTCTTTTAACTGATAGCTTAAATTTATATATATATATATATATATATAATTATTATTAAGTATGAATCACAGTGAAAGGAGTTGTAAGGTCTACAGACTATTATATTGTAAATAACAATGGCTTGCTTGTTAGAGTGCGAAAAAAGTATAGATTTTTATACTTGCATAATTTCTCAAGCACCACGTACCGATATGATTGCAAATCTTTACGTAATCGGTAGCTTTCTTTTGGCGGAAGTAGTAGTAGTGAATGAAATGAAAGAAACGAAAAGAAAAATGTAGCACGCTGTCATAACGTTTGGATGCTGTACGTGCTTTCACTAACAATTATTGAAGTATTGTGAATCCTTTATTTGTCAAGGACACCATTGTTATGGGATATTATGGACCGCGACGAGCATCATGCTGATTACTCATTCAAATTCAATTTTCTTTTTCATCGTTCCTTTATTGATCATTGTTGTTACATCTTGATAAAGTTTGCTACTCTAGCTAAAAAAAATCGTATGGCTATTTTTAACATCTTATACCGGTTACATTTGTTATGAATCACTTGTCCTATATTCGTTTCCGATTCATAATTTGTAATTGAAAGTGGTTTTACGAAAGAAATCCATGATTCGCATTTATAGTTTTGCCTGGAAATGCGATTGAAGCACAGCGTCTCCCTCGAATCGATGTGGCGAATTCTCGACAGTTGATGAACATTTTTAAATGATTTTCGACGAAAGAAGTTTCCTTTAAATTCTGACGGCGTTAATAATAAACGCTTCAAGTATTGCTATCTATTCAATATTTTAATAATTTCAAACTAACAGTCTGTGCCTTTTGGTGACGTGAAATTGTTGTCTTAATATTTTTGGTTTCGTTTTTATAATAAAATCAATTTTATTCAACAAGTCGTTTCGGCGTGTGCTCGTTGCCAACGGTGACAAAAGCAAAATATAAATTTATATGAATGCGATAATAGGGCAAAAACAAATTTTTTGTAAAAAATCTGACACAGTTATATACAATACATATACATCCGCTACACATATCAGCTAAACAGCAAAGCAGCCAGTTACGAAGACATCGCAGATCATTTAGCGTTCACAGCAATATTTTTGTTAAAAAAAAATATAACTTGTAGCATCTAGCATTGATATTCTGTGCTACCTTAATGTAGTGTATACCTAACCAAGCCCATCACAACTTCTGGTACCCAGCATTAGACCAATTTTGGAACGTTCGGTGTGAATATCGCTTTACGGTCTTCGTAATGGTCTCAAAACTGGCAATGCATATAAGTCTTCAGAACCGATCTCTCATACAAGTATATGTATATGTATATATTATATGGCAAAGTCAATCTTGAACTCCTTGTTACAGTAATGAGTTCAGATAATATTTTTTATTTATAATTATGTAAATATATATATATTGTGATCTAGGCAAATCTATCGCAATGTTTTGATGCTCGCGATACCAATAGAATAAGCAACGGCGAAGCGAAAGAATAAGGTTCAATTAGTTGATATGGTTCGCATATTTTTTAATAGCGTGTTTTAAAAATCGATTTATCTATTTCTTAATGACTAAGTATTACTAGCAATATGAACAATTGTCTACTAACCGTGGCCAAGATAACGTCAAGCGATGTAGACAAGTGAACTCCGCTCACATAACGGTCAAATAAGACGTGAAGGCATATCATTTAATCATTAAGTATTTGCAAGAGAAACAAGAAGAGTGAACATGTTTTTCAAAGTGTTTTCGCTTCGGATTCACTGACTATTAGAACACATTATGCGTTGATAAATAATTGGAAGAATAATATTAAATTTTGGATTGAATTCATAAGGAAAAAAGAAAGAATTGTTATCCAAAATCAGCTACGACTCTTTTTGAATGTAACTCGCGAAGGAACTACAGACGCCATTATGCCATTCACATGAGTTTTATAACATCCTCGATAGGATAATTCTTATATTAAAATTGTAAATTGTATTTATTGCTGTATTGCGAAAGTAAGTTCCAACGCAAGATAGACAAAACCATTTTAGCAATATGATTATCGAGATTGAGCCATTTTAGACTACATTAGTCTTCTTCTAAAATAACTACTCATCCCAGAATGAAACGATTTCCGATCTGCAGTTAGGGCACGTGGTTCCTGTTTTCTGTAACAATCATTGATCAAATAAAGACATTCATACAACACAGTTGAAACAACCATGCACAATTTGATATTACCTCAGGTCCCTTTTCTCTCCAATTTGCAATACATTCAGTATGAAATTTATGGTAGCAAGGCTTCAGAACAGTCACACTGGCATTAACAGTGATTGCAAAGTTGTTCAGGCATATTGTGCAGGAAGTATTTTTAATGGATTTGCTTTTCTGAGCATTCAACCTCCTTCGTCTTGATCTACAACCAAAAGCCAAACTACAATTGTCATTCTACTTTGCTGCATAACATTTGTAAAATGCAGAGCCACGAGTATAAGAATATTTCAAACATTTTTCTTTTATCCTTAACGCACACCTGGAACTATCATTTTCCCAGGAGTTGCTATCAGGTGACATATAATGATCTGATGACTGATGTGTTTGTTGTTGAATTGTAGGCTCAGCGGTAAACATATAATATAAAAAGGATGCAACGCCGATTCCTACCACTAACATGACCACCAAACCTGGACCAGCCATATTCTGTGTCAAGGTTATTCTTTTTTTAACTCTTCCGTTTAAACTTTAGACTTGCTAATCAATCCTGATTGTATAGTCTTATTCATTGTAGATCAAGAACAAACAATGTTGATGAAACAAACAACCTTCCACTACTACGACGGCTTTAGCATTATCTACCACCCTTGCACGAGAAATAATAAAAGCAAAGAGGCCAATCACACTCGACGTACGCGACTGTCTACCAATAACACAAAGTGAATATCTATGGACATACTGTACCATTGGTCAACAGTCTAAGTTCAAAGGTGCATTTAGTTAGGGTGTGTTCCGTAACACACTGTAAGCACTGGCAGTACTGTAAAATGTGTTCCGAAATTCGTTGTAGCATACTAGTTTTAGTAGCGCGAAATTATTTGAATTTTTTGTGTCTCGTACGAGGCTACGTTCCATGCTGCGGTTACTACGGCCCCAGAGGTGAGGCAGATTCATACTTATAAAAAGGCGGCATCCATGGTAGAAATAGCGTTAATCGACGCACAGACGAATATTGAATATAAAGTTATCTTCTGCTATTATTTTTTCAAATATATAATAGTATGCCAAGCCATTTAATGACCGACACCTCGTAACTGTAATTTTTCTACCATGATTCATGTACTTACTATACCGTTCCGTTTTACTGTGCTACCAGTGCTTCATACTACGTCACATCATTTCGGAACACTTTCACAGCATACTTTATCAGCGCCATGCTGTAAGTGCTTACAGTGTATTACGGAACACACGCTAGATCCAAAGCAAAACTACACGTGTGTACCAACTCGACGAAATTTTGACACAACGCCAAGAAAATGGCGAGTATGTTAATCATAGAACCTCACACCAGTAACATTCAACGGACGCGTGTTTGATCGCGAAATATCAACCAATGATAACACCGTATGCACAGGAATGAACATTGTTATTGGTTGAGAGCCACGTTCGGAGCCTGAAGATATGATCTCATGCATTTGACTTTTGCTAAAAATATATTATCTTCGATATAGCGGAGTATAAGAAACAATTTCTTATTTACCTTATGAACTTTAAAGCAAGGCTGCAACTTTCATAACATTTGAAAAAATGAAGTATTAAATTATATGAAAATCAGTGACAGCTGCAAAGTATATTTTATTTGTTAAAATCGGTGAACAATTTGATTATTAAACATAATAATATATAATACAAAATTATGGATTTAATGTTTATATTTACATAAATGCCATTCTAATTATAATATAAATTTATGTTTAAGGTTAAGTGTAAAGTATTACGGTGGTAATTGTTGCATCATAAACATTAAAAAAAATTTTTACCGCATTTAGGACATACTTCGCTCTCCTGAAAATATCAATAGTTGTATGATTATGTCAAATATTAACGTAGTATATATTTAACAAAGTCTTACATAAATGCATCAACATTTTTTATAATTATTTTAGTATTTGCTTACTCGTCTCCAATTAATCAAACATGCTGCGTGAAATATATGTCCGCAATCTATTTTTCTAAAACTTCTTTCTAAAGACTTTTCGCAGATTCCACAAGATTCCACTTCTTCCACTACCACAGTACTTTTCTCTTCCGTTTTATTTTTTTTATTTCCATTTTTCTTTTCACCTCGATGTCTGATATCCGATCCTCTAACAATTGCAAAACAATAGCTGTTATTGGGAATACGATTTACGTAAGTAAAAATTCCCTAGGCAATGCTTGCGGTAAACGAAGTTGGTACGCATGCGATTAGAGTATGCATTCTTATTACTACAAGATGAACTAGCCCCACGGAAAGAAGGGATTTCCCCACTTCCGATTTTCGGACTATTAGATACAATGAGCGTGTCAGACACTCGAGAAAACATGTTTTACTAATTACCGATACATGAAAAACATACTTATAAGCAGCGAACGAGATTTAACATATGATCTAATTGAAGGATATTTGGTCAACTTTTCGCGCTTCTCTCATACGTACCCCGAACTTGAGGGTTCTTCTGACTGCCAGGAGTCATGATCTGAGAAGTTTATATTCCGTGGTTGTTCATGATTGTACATTGATTCTTGTTGGCGTCTGTACTGTTGATATATGAGTACTGCTAGGCTCATGCCGACAGCAACTCCAAATGTCCACAGAGGATTCACCATTTCAAGCCTCAAACGTTTGACTACACCTCACTACAAACTACTACTGACTGCCACTGACTGTCACCGACAAATATGAGAGAATTGCCTATTTGTGCCGTGAGTGACAGTAACATTAACTTTAAAGGTTGGTTAAGTTTTCAGGGCAACCAATGACGGATATAGAAACCAGTAACTTTCAGTTCCCCTAGAATAACAGGGCTGTTTTTCATTTGTCCAAATTGAGTTATAGTAAAAGGCTCGGCTACTGGTTGGTTTCAACGGAAAGTTGATCTGGCCAATAAGGCAGTTTCTTATCAATTGAATTTGCGCAAACATAAACCATATTGAAATTTATAGACAAGCGTACCAACTTTTAGGTAATTAATTTTCAAGTATCAAAGAATTTTTAGCCATTTTATTTATTCGTACATTATTTTATCTGTTTATTCAAATTAGACACTGTTGTATACATATATAGAAATCACATAACTTATTATAATTTGCGAATTGTGTACCCATCTTTTCCATAGATCATCAACCCGATATCTTCGTCTACTGAGAATTATTTAGGATCCTTTTTGCAAAGAGGACATTCCTCCGTATTTACCTGAAACCATTTTTTTTAATTCCAAATATTTTACTATTACATCGACTGTTATTATTGAATATATTTAATCAAGCTTTGCCACTGCAATTTCGTTATTGATTCTTATATTAATTTACTTTTTGCCATGCACGAATACATAATTGGTGAAATTCATGTCCACAGTCCAAAGACAGTGTGTACTCATCTCTCCCGCTCTCATAGATACATATAGATGAGCAACGCTTTCTGCAAACAAAATGCTAGCTGTACCATGTGAAGTAAGTTGTATTACACACTCTTTCAAATAATATTAAGTTGGCAGACATGTTGCTGCGAAGGAGTAGGGAGAATGTGGGAACCGGGACTTCCTGGAACTATATCGTTCTAAATCAACATCATACATTTTTTTTAACATTCATATTTTTGTATAAATCTAAAGATTAAGATAAATTCATAATTGCTCTGACAATAATTCACTCGAGTTGTTATTCTTACCTACCTTGATTTATCCAGCTCAGCAGAAAAAGCTTGGTACATCCCAAAGGCAATACCTCCCACAACGGAAATTACACATATTACCGTCTTATTCATTTTTTTAGAAATTCGTAAAATCAGAAACAATATTAACCAGTCGCACTGGTGTCTTTGATTCCAATGACTGCTCGCTTTCCCCCCCGGATATTCGGCCTTTTTAACTGTTTGATTTCCTTCGCTTTCTTTATGGTTGCCTCTTCGTAAGGCAGATGTGCCAGGACTGCTCGATTTTCAGCCACGTTAATGTATATGGGTAGAAGCACTCTGAAGTACACGTAGCATCATTCATGCCCTAGAGCAGGGATGCAGGACTATCGGCTCTTCGTTAAAGTCTCCACTATCAATTCATCGATAACGTTTAGTATGTTTCTTCTTTCTTTTACTGAATTTGTAAACAAGTTCTTAAAATGACAATCAGAGGTACAACAATGAAATAAGATAATAATACAATTCATGACATACGGTTTATATTAATCTTCAACAACAGTAAAACGAAACATTATTTACATAGGCACAATTATTAATAAACTACTGTAAAAGCATCGTGTGCTTAGCCTTATATAATATGTATAATTTACAGACTTATAAACCTACACTTATTTTCATTTTTCAATTTCAATAGAGTTCCTCTCAGATCTAGGGACATATTTCTTTGTACGTTTACGTGCAGCCTTACAATGGACGGACCCATGAAAGTCGTGATGACGTGACTCAAAATGAAAAATGATCCCATAAGTACTCTAGTTTTTGAAATCCGTATTAATTTCTCACATCACTTCTTTTGCTCCAAAGTTATATCTGATAGCGAGTTATTAGATCAGATGCATTGAGTATGATTTAACGATCAGTTTCATGTTTAAACTTGACAGGATACAGATGTAACAGGATTCTGAGGTGATAGTGTACTAGGTGTCACCGAAGAAAGCGGCCTCGCAGAATCAATCGTCTGTATACCGGGTGTCTGCTGCTTTATCAACATGTGACGAAGAGATTGTGCTTCTTCGCGAAGAGTTACTACCTGAGCACGCAAGATGGCATTCTCGTGCTCCAGCATAGTTGCTCTTAAAGCAATCTGTAAATAAAATAATTAAAAAGCGTAAGATATTTTTAAGATAAAGTAATCGCAGTACAATCAATTTCAACAAGGATATATAAGGTATGTATTGATTTGATAATTATCAAATTTGACCAACAATTTTGAGCTATAAATATAGATTTTTGTGATGAAAGAGATATTTATTGTTTTTTGGAGCAACTTACGTGATCCTCGCGAATTTTACGAGCATCGCGAGACTTTTTAGCTGCTTGATTGTTGCGTTTTCGTCTTTCATAATATTTCTCGTCTTTCTGTTCCTCAGGAATGGGTTTTTTCTCGCCACGTGGTCTTCTCTGCTGGATGTTCGTGATACCATTGCTACTAATGAAATGATGATTTCCCAACGTTCCTAATTCATCGTAATTATGATTATTTACAATTTTAATTAAAAATGTAAAAATCTTGTTATCAATAATACGAAATGCAAAAGTAATGCCCCGGGTGAGGATCGAACTCACGACCTTAAGATTATGAGACTTACGCGCTGCCTACTGCGCTACCGAGGCCTGTAAGATTTAAGACCTCCATTTTGTACATGAACTATAATTTACAACGTAAATTTTTCAATATTTTTTTTAATATTACCAATTCACGAACCTCATACAATCCAAAGATTTTTCATTTCTTCATATTTCAAACATATTTGTATTACAGGCAATTTGGAGATTTTATACAAGACCTCTGATATTAACTCAAGCGTCTGTAAGTGAGTTCTTTCGACATTTCATTAAGAAATATTGATAAATTCATCTTTTCTTTATCACTGAGTAAAGAAGATCGCTACTGTATGTTAAATCTAGCATCTAATCCCATGCTGAATTTGATCCTGTACATTATAAACTTTATAACGCAGCATAGTCGTAAGTAAGCGTACCTGGATTTGCGGAATTGGAAAATGGCTGAGGTACATTTATCGATTGAATTAATGGCGGCACCGCCGCGAGAAGTGGCGGTGGAAATAAACTAGTTGGTATTGAGAAAGGTGCTGTTAGCGAAGAAGGAGTTAAGGGTGACACAGGTGTTTCACCAGTCGAGCCACTTCTTGGTGGATCAGGTTCTCCAAAACCATAATCCCTTGCAGGAAATGGATCATACCTGCACAAATCTGTAACCAAAAAGAATTGAACAATAAGTAATATAGTCTCCCAAGTTCTGTTTCCTTTAAAAAATTACTATTAACTGTAATCAATCTCTTCGCGTCCCTTCATCCTTTCGGAAATAGACATTCAAAGCCCCTGTGGCCTAATGGATAAGGCATCGGTCTCCTAAACCGGGGATTGTGGGTTCGAGTCCCACCAGGGGTACAAACCCTTATTTTTTTCACTGCCAACCTGAACTTCTTCATAGATACTCATACGTACGCTAATTTCTCAGTTATGATACACAAATATCTAATATATAATATAAAATACATAATATACAATAATCTTATCAATAAGCAATAACTTTAGGAAGAGCGTCTCCATGATATGGATAAAACCGGTCAAAACAGACGGTGACGTTATTACCGACGAAAGATAAATGTAACAGTTACAGGGTGTCACAATAGTAGCGTGTATCCGTGGGAAATTGGCACCAGTTCCAAAAGCGCGAAACGGTTTCCTTCTCGTCATAAAAAACTTTAACTTATTTCAATGGCAGTTATGATTTTAAAAGGAACCCGCTTACACCGTGTAAATAACCAGGCGAGAAATGACGCCTTCTTGCGCGCTTCAAACGATCACGCCAACTAAAGTTCACCCCTCACAAGAGAGCACCGATGTCACAAATATTGAATAGGAAGGGAATGCCTTTTTAAGACTGTTCCCATTACAGTTTCACTAGGATGAGTTTTAGCGATTGTTCTTTATATTTTTACAGGGAGAAAATAACCGTCTTTATTGAGTTTGCACGCAATCTAAAAACTGAATAGCAGTTAAATTTTATGTACAGTTAAAAACGACCTACCGGTTATTTTAATTTGTTTCTCTTTTTCCATGGAACCGTATTAATTTATTTTCATTTCGAATTCTCAATTGTGTATTCTTTTTGGATACTCTTTTAAATTGATATCTTTTTCCATGATTTCATATATTATTTAACAGAAAATTATGAATTGGCGTTCATAAGTCTTATCTTACATTTTATAATGGCGGCATAAGAAACTGATTTTATCGCTGTAAGATTTATATCGAAAAAATCTAAAATTTGTATTATTTTATGAAAACGACTACTGGTCTTATTAGAGACCTGCTACTGTTTTACTTTTTCACGTAAAAAATGCTTTTTCGTGTAAATACAAAAAAAAATCCATATCTAAGTTCCTAATGAAATAGTAGTTTCCACACAGTAGTCGAATTATTTACGAAAAGTTGATCGTCATTCTAAGAACGCCAAAAAGCACAAACTTACTATCAAGCTCAATCTTTAATATTTCTTTCTACATCAGTGTAATGCTCATAGAAATTCGTTCGACCTAATTCACCGTAACCAATGGCTTAACGAGTATGAGTAATAATTCAAGAGCCGAGGTTAAATAAATAAAAAAAAAAATATTGATTGATTTTATTGATTCGCAGGATAACACACATGGAAACAGTTATCAGTCAATTGACTCTTGATGGATAAAATTTTCCATAATATGACTTAATTAAATATTCAACCATATCAAGTACAACACAGTGTATCCCTCAGAGAAGAAAAAAAAAATAAAGAACAGCAAGTTTTCACGGAACGAGGAAATTTGTCGATGAATAAAAATTCATTTGCCAGCCGAATGGCACGATATAAAATACGGGCAGTGACGTAGCCATCATATTCAGTGACGTCAATGATTTATGAAGTCGTTCATCCGACGGTCCACATCGGAGAGTCGAAATAACCGTGAATAAGGTTTAAAAATTAAATCAACAAAGTTTCGCCCAAGCAGAAGAGTTCTCTTTGATGTGACACAACAAAAGCCCTACTTCTTCCCTGTTCATTCCTACCTAGACTCTCCAGCCATTTCTTAACTGCAAAGCTTGAACGCGTCCTTGCGCTAACATGAGTTATCACTATTATAACGGCACTGTCCTTTGTTATCGCGATAGCAAATAGTTTCTATTATCCCCGCAAAGTTATAACTCGGGCCAAATATTCTGCGAATCATGATTATGTAATTTAATACATATATATATACGCATGGCTTTAAACGATATTTATATTTGACTTTTTTTACACGTTATCAATGACCTGTATGGACTATAGGTTATCTTTAAAAAAATATTACAGAAACTTTATCAAATCATATTTAACTGTATATACATGCTTCGAATGATATTTAAAATTTAATTATTTTATTTTATCACTTATCTATACGTACTATCGATGTAATGTGGTATTTTGAAAAAAATTATCGTCTCCATTCCGTGACAATGTGACTTGGCACATTGCCGTGACCAGGATTCGAACCTGGGTTACTACGGCCACAACGTAGGGTCCTAACCACTAGACGATCACGGCTATTGGAGCACTTGAAAGTGATCTGTCGATTTTGACAGATCGGTCCAGTCCAAGACCGACTTGCTCCATCATCCGTGACATTGGGTCCAGGTGATTGTTATCCGACTCTATAGTGACAGCGACGTACCTGAAGGCGGCGCCAGGAGACTGTAGCTCCTGAGAAGATGCAACGCGGAAAAGGCACCGGTTACGGAACTCCCGGCACAGATGGACCTAGCGTGCGCATGGGATCCCATATTGGCTGATGATTTTTTAAAAACATCAACAAGATTTTTTTTCAAAATCTTAAACCAGCCTGCAGTAGCTTCCTTCGCTTTTGATTTCTCCGCATGGTCGACACTTTTTTTAAAATTAATCTCAAAACGGCATCGAATTTGAAGTTTGGGTTAAAAAATTTTCGTTAACTTTTTCAATGCCACAGGTTTTTTAATAACATTTTTTAAAAACACTTAAAATTTTTTCTCAGCATACCGGATATCCTCTTTGCGTTACGACTTCCGTTGGGATTCAAGGCACATTGGTGACTCCTTTCGTTCGTATGGATGTTACAGTCGATGGATACAGAACATTGGTAGGTTGACGTGCGATCACGTGTGTTAATATTACATGGGTCTATAGCTACGTTTTCATTGGTCAAGTCAGGGGTTGCTCCCGCCCCTGAGAACCTGCGCACCAGGATAATACTACCCCCTGAGCGACCGCCCCTGCACAGTCAAAGGTGACCAAGTGTTAGCCAATGGTCAAGTAACTGGCCAATAGCGATTTTGGTCATACAATGAATTATCCATAACTTTTGCTTACATATATCACAGGTGCTCCGTAATCTACCAGGTAATCATACCTCAAATTGATGGCTTCTGTACGGTCAAGTGTCGACCAGCTACCCCGTCCCCAATGATGTACGACACGTCGCCGGATCTTCCGAGGGTCAATCTGCCAATAGATAAATGCCCCAAGAGTATATTCGAAGAAAAGAAAAAAATGCTTTTATTATTATACAGCTTTTATTATTTTATTTTATTACAGAAAATTATCACTTTGATTTTCGCTCTTATTATATACACAACAAAAATTTAATTCTATCGATGACCAAGAAAATGTTAAATGGTAAATATTGGACGAGTAACGAAAAAAATTTTTTTACAATTTCTTTTTAGTGTAAACTAAAAATATTTTTAAATTATACGTGACTGTTGAGTTTGACGGTATAAGCCATGAAGAAATTTTACAGCTGCACTTCGGATGGGTATATGCATCTTACGTGTACCGGTACACGCGTATGCGTGTTCTAATGTCTGGGACATGAAGCAGCTGACATCGCCGACACTTTCACGTTAGCTACGAATGTTTAATGCGCCAGTAATTATTACGAGGTAAATTAGCTGCCGATGTGTAATTAGTCAGGTCAGCTCATCAATGCTGCAGCTAGTGTTCTGTATAATTGCGGAGTCTAGAAGGAGGGATTAATAGCTGAAGAACGGTGCACCGACAATCAAGGGAGGTCATCCACGTTCCTCGACCTGCCAGCCATTTTTTTTTCATTTCCATTCAAAGATATTTAACATTATCAAAGTTTGATGATATCTCACGATTAATTTTAGAACGTTTAAGAATATACCCTGTAAACAATTCTAGGGTCCCTAGAAGACACCGTAGATTATTCCTCCTGAGCAAAGATCAAATAGTATGGTTTAGTAACGTTCATACGAAATTGTCAGTCTAACACTGTACGTCATGTGGCTATGATCTCACGGCTATGCAATTATACACCGGTATCGAATACCATCCTTCCTGTTCAAACAATTATAGAATGCGTAATCGTCAGGAACCCTTCATCAAACAAAACAAAAAAAAAAGAGATCAAGCGTTCTGGTGAATCGAATATTCTTGGGTTTAAAAATTATTTAAATATCACCAAGGTTCCCTTTATTCCCTTACCCGTCAATTTTGATTAAAATCTATAGCCAACTTAAGAAAAGTTATTTACTTCATTCTTTAAAGGTATCGATAGGGTATTTGAAAAAAAAAGATCAATTTTATTTAATTCAAAAGACGATGACTCGGCGAACCCATCAATCTCATTCAATACGTAACTTTCTTATTGATGGGTGATTTGAATTTGCCGCGCGAATTAGGAGCAATCACTGCTATGCATACATATGATCGATGCACGCGAGGCAAATTGGAGGAAATTTAATGGAATTAAACAATAGATTGTCCCTTGGGTATATTGTTGTTATACAGCAATGGCGACCAGTCGCGTCAGCAAGCAGAAGCAACACTCTGGCATTATCGGATGCTCGTTATCATTATGTGGCTGGATTTGTGATAGCCATCGACTCTCCATGGCGAGGGTGCTCGCTGATGGGGTCTTGGAGGTACACGGGGTTGTGTGAACGAACACCTGTCGCGAGGCCAGGTAACGTGACATCACGTCACGTGACCCCGTGAGCTCTGACCCTCCCGAACCCCTTCGGCACCCCATACCTGATCCTCCAGCACCTAACAGCTAACGGTAATCATTTTAATCGCTGTCCTGGAAACTAGGATCACGCACTGTCCTGATCTATACCTATACACAAGTCTATAGTATACCTATATAAAAATACCATACATAGCCATACATATTTAAGTCCATATACGATAGGGTATTGAATGTTCAAGAATAACAGTCATGTCCTGACACGCGTTTAACCAGAGTACGTTGTAGTAATTGTTCTTAGTATTGAAAAGTGAAAAAAAGTAGACTTAAAAAATTCGAAGTTTACCCCTATGGTAAAGAAGGTATCTCTCTTGTCTTCCCGGAAGCTTTTTGCCGACACTCCTATCTCTTGTAATGTCGGAGTTGGCGAGTGCACTTCCGGGAAAGTCAGTTACCTGATCAATATGGTCATATTTTTTATTTATTTTTAACGTAGCTGTGTACAGTGGTGGATGATTATTTAAAAAAATAATTTTGATCATTAATTTTGAAAAACGTCTTACCGTGGCTCGAACGAAATTAAACTCGTGGGAATTTTTTGACTTTTCGTGTGGAGATATCTAAGGTAGTCAGGGACTCCTGTACTTATTGTTAGGTGGTTACCGCGTGATATCGCAGGACAAAAGTTTATTCGTACACCTCGGAACGACAGCAGGGTGCGGAGGTCGCGTGCCTGCCAACCCCCGGAGAGCACACCCACGCCAAGCACAGGGATTCATTCCAACCCTTGGAAGTCACGAATCGTGACGTTCGTTGTTTCACAACTTGGGCAAAGTTATCTCATCAAGTCGTCACGAGGACGCTGTTTGGGTACGATTAAACTTTTTCTCCTTGGAAAAAGTCATAATTTCGAATTATTATAAATAAATGAAAATTTGGACATTAGACGGGTTATTTGTCCAAATTAAATATTGACTCGGGATATAATATATAAAATTGAAAACTGATCATAGAAAAATTAATCATTTAATTTATCTGGAAAAAAATGCCTTCTAATAATAACAATTATGATTTTAATATAACGTTCCGGGTAATTTTCCCACTAATTTCATCCACTACTCACTGAATACCTACGCAAGGATGGGATTACAGTCGAAAGATAGCAAATAGGGTGCGAGTAAGCAGCACGGATACTTAATAATTTAGGATATTTGTCCAGGGCAACGTGCCTGACTACCACCTTTAGTTTCCCACACTACCAGCAAATTGTGGTTTATCGGTAGTAATTCTTATATGTTCTTCTGTGCCTATACAAACGCCACTCTTATTATCTATTATTTTTCAAACAAATTCATATGACTGCATTCAATGTCGATTAAGGACTGACCATTTTTCTTATTCACTTTTTTCTCACCAGATGTCAGTGCGACACTTGGAAAGTATTTCGAAAATGAATGACTAATAGAAAATTATTAATTAAGACGGATGAAGACAATATGGCTGCTGTCTTATGTCCACGTGATTCTAAACTGTACGACAATGTCTAATGACATTAATATTTCAAATATTGGCTTTGGCGCCTTATTTCGTGCGCACCTCTAATACACTGTATTATCAATGGCGCGGTCAGCTTCTAGTATCATTTATATTGCAAATCGATATTGACTACGTTCTGCGACACTTAAACTGTACAGTCTCTTCTTTGACTAGTGTCATTGCTTGTGTCACCATTTAAATCAAATTGTCTTTGTACATTTAACTTATAATACTCACGTATATCGTACAGTTATGGTGCACCGGAAATAATCTTTTTTTTCTATTATTAATTCTCTTTGTGAATCTTCGAAGGGAGGAAAAATGTAATTTGACTTGAAAATGACTTCAAACGAGTCCGTCCATCGCCATTTCTATAACCTTGTTTCGTATTTTTTTTTGTCTTATAATTTATATCGATGAGGTAACAGAGCATGCAGAATCCAAGAAAACGCGGTGCGTCTGAGGATCAAGAAATTAATTCGGTTATAGATCGGATCTTGTGGAATGATACTAAAGATGCCAGAAGATGTTCAAAAATTTGTAATGTTGAAAAAAAGTGTTGTGACAGTTATGGAAATGTCGTATGTTGTCTGATTGGATTGGATTTTTTAAGCTTTATTGATTACTGTATTTTGGATATTATATCATTAGGAATCAAATCAAGTCAATTGCGCTGTTGAGTCATCAGCTAGATTTTCTTTAAAAGTTATGGAGGCTTTACGTAATCTGCAGAGAAATGATCAGAATAAATGTAAAAATTCATATTGTGTTAATGATATTGTTAATTACATTGAGAATAATTATAGTCACGATGGTGATTTGTATGCTCAGGTGTTAACAGTGTTACCACAAATTTGTGCTCAAGGGTTGGTGTTCATTAAAATACAGTGATAGCCAAAAGTACTGAGACAATGTATTGACACAATGTGGTTTTTTAATTTTTTAATTTTTAGATTTATAGTTAAAACTGGAAGCGACGAGTATTATCACGTGGGACCATTTGCCTGTATGATAAATCAAAATTTAAAAAGAGAATTAGGAAATTGTCCTGAAGCTTGTACTGGGAAATCTGATGACAGCTGTGACGATGAGTCTTTCGAAGATTTAGGCCAAATTTCGAATATACGAAAGAAAACTTGTGACACTTGGAAAAAATCCAGAAAAACGACATGTCCCTCCAGAAGCTCTGCTACTAAAAGAACAAATAACCCTTATATGCATTGTTCGCAGAATCGGCCTGACAGACTTTCTAGAGGAAGCAGACGTGACAATATATCGCGCGGAAAGTCAAAAAAATATCGAAATATTTTCAGCGATGAAAATCAAAGTGAAATTGAATTAAGCTCAAATGACGATTCGGAAAAAGATGGCAGCTCGGATGAAAATTTATTTCAGGGATTAGAATCGAAAAAATCAAATATACCTGTAGGAATAATAAATACGGACGACAAAGAACTAAAAGGATGGTTGCGCCGTTGTTGCAGAGAATCGGAACAGCAAGGAACAATCTAGAAAAATTATCGATTCATCAATTATGGTCGAAGTAAAGGCTTTTGTTATACAATTTCTTTTTATGTATGATACACATATTGTAATTTTCATTAAATATTCTAGACGGACTGCACCAGAGTTTTTATCCCTTCTCGACATAAATTATTATAGAGCCACTGCACGGTACTATTGGATTAATAGCACGCAGTAGACAAACATCATATCGTTTACTTGTCTCTGATAAAAATCGGTCGTTAGACGACCTTCGTTTACATATATTAAGTAAATATATCATAAGGTTGATTCGCGTTTAATAATTATCCTGTAATACAGTGCTATTGTCCATTTATTTATGTCCTCTTATGATCAATATCTTCTTTTTTACTCTTTTTACAATTCTAACCCTCTAGCAAGGTTAAATACTGGATGTAGGTAATTTAGATAATTTGAAATACGTGATTAACATATTTTTCCATTTTTTTCAGTCTTCTATGTATCGGGTCCTCTTGTGTTTACTTATATTATAATAGGAAAATTTTTATGTTTGATTCCTGTAGAATTTTCTTATAGGCATCAACGATTTTGTACGTGAACGTTTATCGGGACGATGTTGTGTTGATCGATACTGTCTTCGTACATGAATTCTCTTGAAATTACTATGGGCATTGTTTCTTTGCTTCCGTTTTGCATTATTGTAAGCAATTCTTGATAAATATTCATAAACAAGATCCGAAACTGTAGCTGTGTGATGACGTCTTCCAGGACTATTTTGTCTTTTGCAACTTGACAGATTTTCAATGAACATCGCGTGATCATCGTTCAACGTGTAATAATTTATCTTCTGCGCCTGCATCGTTCATAAATCTAGGATTGTGCTATACGTTTTGAAAAATGTACGTAGATAGATTTATAGGTTACTATTTAATTTTAATATCTCTAACCTTTTACTAATTAAGTCATATGAGGAATTATCGAAAAGTCTTGAACGATCGTTTTTCTGCTATGTCAATTGGCCGTCGCTGTCGTCGCTCCATAATGCGAATGTCGTTTTGCGCGACATTCAATCAGTGACATGTTGTCTTCGAAGGAGGTTAATGGTAGCAAATTTTTTACGTAATAGAATTGGTTTTTATAAGTTCTTTCATCATCCTTTGCTTCTGTACTTTTCTTGCTCCCTTCTGACTTCCCCTCGTAAGTGTTATGTTGAGAATAGTGTTGACTAATTTTTGAGTGACATTAAACTTAGCCTGCATTGATTAAAATTATGAGAATCAATGATGTTTTAAACAATACTAATATGACTATTCAATACTACCCTGTTCCCATATCTAGTACCATCTGTTAAAGACATTTTGTACTCTTTTTTTTTACCGTATGCTACTATGGTAAGAGAATGATTCGTTATTATGTACCATTGGAAAAAGCACCCTTTAGTTCAGACACGAACCACTTGTAGGATCATACACGTAACGATCATATATTTTATTCGTTATCTTTCATTCTTGGTATAAATTTGTAGACACATGTATTACATTTATTCCAATAGATGGTGCGTGGTAAAAGTTTGCGATATGTGGGGGTTGCAGCAGAGATGAGATGGGAGATGCACAACACTACGATTTTAGGCGATACCAAAATCATGCCGCTAAATCGTAGCGGCGAGTCTGGAAGTAGGATTATGTGATCATCGCCTCCGTCGACAATGCAAATCCCGTCGTAGTCGAGCTAAACGTGAACACGAACGCGTAGCTTGGCGGGCAGAGGTTCTCCGCTACTCACCACTGGTTCCCAAAGCAACTCTTAGAACGAGACGGGGAAATATAAAACTTTTCAAGAATTATTGAAAAAGCTTATTGTTGAAATATTTTTAAGA